GGAATGAACCTAAGCTAAGATCTAGGACTATAAACTCTAATAAGAGAAAAAGCTTCATGACACTGGATCTGGTGATCTTATCTTGAATGACACCAAAAGTACAGAAAATAAAAAATAAATTGGACTTCAATAAAGCAAAATGGGAACGCACAGAATGGGAGAAAGCATTTGTAAATCATGCATCTGGTAAAAAAAAATTAATAACCAGAATATACAAAGATCTCTTACAACTCAACAACAAAACCCCCAAACAATTCAATTAAAAAATAGACAAAGAACTTGAATAGACATTTATCCAAAGATAGAGAAATGGCTGACAAGCACATAAGAGATGGTCAATATAAATCAAAACTATAGTAAGATACCACTTCAAATCAGGATGGCTACTACTTTAAAATGGTGAATGGGGGCGAGGAAGGTGGCTCAGTGGTAGAGTGCTTGCCTTGCATGCATGAAGCCCTGGGTTCAATTCTGCAGCACCACATAAGCAGAAAAAGCTGCAAGTGGTGCTGTGATAGAGTGGTAGAGTACTAGCCTTGAGAGAGCTGAGGGACAGTGCCTAGGCCCAGAGTTCAGGCCCCATGAATGACTGATAAAAAAAGTAAAAATAAAAAAATAAATGATGAATGCTTGCATATTCACAATAGTGGCTGTTTCTAAAAATACAGTATGCTCCTCAAAAGTTTAAACAGAATTGTCATTTAATCCAATTATTCCACTTCTAGATAACAGGGATAAAATTCTAAAGTAAAAAATACAAAAGTAAAACAGGTATCTCAGAGCTTAAAATCCTGTTATTACTTTCATAACAAGTAACTTCTGACAAAGAAAAGAAATTGTGGACATTTCTCTAGATAGATAAGAGTTTCTTCAAATCATTGAGGAAGAATGCAAACAAAAATCTTTAAATTTCCATCAATATATACTAGTAATGAACTAAGTCAATCGAGAAAAACTGAGGAAGAAATGGGACTCAAATTTTAGCACAAGCAAATGCAAATCTATTTGTTTATGTATAGCAGTGTACCAACCAAATTTACATGTATAAATCAAACTCAAATATGACAGATGTACTTTTATAAGTCATTCCTTAAGACCATACCCAAATACTTCCCTTAACACACAATAGTATTTAAAGTGAGCAGAATATAAGTAGTTCTGATTGCAAAGAGAGAGATAATGATATTAAAGAAAGAGAAGTACATCAATTGGAGAATGCTATGAGAACAGACCATGACAAATTAAAAAATCAAAAACACTTAGAAAAGGACATGGGGTTTTTTTTGGGGGGGGATGGAGGGGGAAGGGGAGCAGAAGAAAGGAGGGGCTGGTTCTGGGGCTTGAACTCCAGAGCCTGGGTATTGTCCCTGAGATTTTGTGCTCATGGCTAATGCTTTATAACTTGAGCCATAGCTCCACTTTCCACTTTTTGGTGGTTAACTGGAGATACCAGTCTCACAGAACATCCTGCTTGGGCTGGCTTCAAACCATGATCCTCAGATCTCGGCTTCCTGGGTAGCTAGGATTATAGGCCTGAGCCACAGGCACCCAGCTGACATGTTCTATTTAACCAGACTCCTCCTCCTCCTCTTTATTTTTTCTTTTTGGGATAGGATCTCACTATGTAGTCCAAGCTGGACTTCAATATCTTCTGGCTTCAGCCTCCAAAGTGCTGAGATTATATGAGGCCCAGTTAAAGAGAAATCACTCAACTTGGAACTGGAATAAGGAACAAATTAATATAAACCTAACCAAATCAATGTGAGAAGCTCGATCAATACTTCTAATGACAATACAGGAGAGGATGCTCAACTTCACTTTATACAGGAAGCACTGTTGGCTTCAGAGATTTTACACTTCACAAGTTTTATTTTGAGCTTGATCTAGGAAGGCCATTCTTTTTTTTTTTTTTTTTGGGTCCGGTTGTGGGGCCTGAACTCTGGGCCTGAGCACTGTCCCTCAGCTCTTCAGCTCAAGGCTAGCACTCTACCACTTGAGCCACAGCACCATTTCCGGCTTTTTTCTTTTTGCTTATGTGGTGCTGAGGAATCGAACCCAGGGCCTTGAGCATATGCAAGGCAAGCGCTCTATCACTGAGCCACCTTCCCAGCCCTAGGAAGGCCATTCTTTAATTTCAAGCTTAATTTACAGAAACATTTATGCATATAACAGAGGACAGAATTATCTAATTAGGCTACATTTTAAACACTTACTATATTTAAATACTTACTATCAATAATGATTCAACTCTCCAAGATACTGACAAAAGGAATGATAAAAAGGTTTTGGGGGTCACTAAAACATGTGGATAATGATTTTATCCTTAAATTACTACTTTACTTCTACAGTTCTTTTTCTTTACTTTTAAATTTGTCATCCTTGCAAAGTAATGAATGACAAGTATTTTTAAATACTTTAACGCGTGACATTTAAAACTTGATAGGCTTTGTCCTTTGTCCTACCACTTAACATTTAAGCTTGTTATTCTATATGGCTTAATTTACCAGTGTTCAGTTTGTGATGAACTCACGATTTTTCTAAGTTTAGTATGGCATTCAATGATAACACTTCAAGAAAAAATTTCCCCAAAGATGTGGGAGAACATGATTAAATGTGACTCACATTCGAGATCATCCCTTCATATACAGAAATAGGAAGTTAAAATAGCAAGCTCTTGTAATTGATGCAAGTACACCAACACAAATATATTTTTTTGTCGGTCATGGGGCCTGAACTCTGGGTCTGGGTGCTGCCCCTCAGCTCTTTAGCTCATGGTGAGAGCTCTACCGCTTGAGCCACAGTGCCACTTCCAGTCTTTTCTGCTTATGTGGTGCTGAGTAATCGAACCCAGAGCCTCATGCAAGCAGGCAAGCACTCTGAGCCACCTTCCAGCCCACCAACACAAATATTAAAAACATTTGGATATAGTAATAGAGGCAAAAAGACAACAATTAGATCTCACTTGGACCTCATTAGCTAAAAGTTGTGAATTCTGGCTTTAAGCAAAATATTTATTTAAAACACACCAATTAGAACATAAAAACAAATTTATGAGGAAAGATAGCCCCCCCCCCAAAAAAAAGCGGGCGATTTATAGACATATAAAGCATTTCCAGGGCTGGGGATACAGCTTAGCAAATGCTCAGTGTGATCCCCAAAATACAAATGAAAAAAGGACACACACAAAACACTATTATGTGTAGTGCCATACTAAGGGGTTGAACTCAGGATCTGGTCACTATACTTGAGCTTTTTTGCTTAAGGTGGCTCTCTACCACTTGAGCCACAGCTCTACCTCCAGTTTTTTGGTGGTTAAGAGATAAGAGTCTCATACTTTCTTGCTCAGGCTGGCTTCAAACCAACATGCTCAGACCTCAGCCTCTCGAGTATCTAGGATTAAATGAGCTACCAGTCCTGGGCATAAACAGGACTATTAAGGCTTATAATTTCCTTTTTTTTTTTTTTTGGTCAGTTGTGGGGCCTGAACTCTGGGCCTGGATGCCATCCCTGAGATCTTCAGCTCAAGGCTAGCGCTCTACCACTTGAGCCACAGCACCACTTTCAGGATTTTCTGCTTTTGTGGTGCTGAGGAATCGAACCTAGGGCCTCATGCAGGCAAGGTAAGCACTCTACCACTGAGCCACCTTGCCAGCCGGAGGCTTGTAATTACTATCAGGACCATTTAAGAAAAACTACTACCTTTCTGCTTCACAACTACCACTGACTCAAGTACTATGCATAAGAAATAACTATGAAACAAAAGGGCAACAATTACATAGATCTAAGAGAAAGAGTGGAAGGGGGACTAAAAGATACTTAATTTTATATGAAATATATGTGTGTGTGTGTGTGTATAATTTGACAATCCAAATTAAACATCATTAGAAGAGCCTAAACCAGGAAACATACTTCAAGAACATTATAAATAGGAACTTTTCTAATGCCATTTTCTTAGCAAATGAAACCATATAATGTCTATCCACATTTAACATAAGATCTTTTTGATCCATTTTTCTTCTAACACTTTTCAAAATAACATTATGAAAACTGAATTAAAGAAGTAAATATAGATATTGAGGGGGCAGGGTTAAATATTTCTAAGTTTACATTTTTGGGTGGGCTAACAAATTTAACACAGTATTCTGAAAAGACATAACTTTCAGATGTTAAAATTTTTAAACTGAACAGTTCGTCAAGATTTACTGATTTGAAATCAGTACCAGTAACATTTTACATAAAAATTAATATACATAAACATACTCCTGACATAGGATATTAGAAGTGACCTTTTATTTGTTCAAGGATGGTACTCTACCACTTGAGCCACAGCTCCACTTCTAGCTTTTTGCTGTTTCATTGGAAGTAAGAGTCTCATGGACTTTTCTGCTCTGATTCATCTTCAGATATCAGTCTCCTAAGTAACTAGTTTTACAGGCATGAGCAGCCTGTGCCCAGCAAGAGGTGATATTTAAAATCCTAACAACTAAAGAACTAACGCTGTTTGACACAAACAGAAACTATGAAATCTTAAGAATATGGTGTTAGCAAATGAAATATTTCCTTAACAGTAAATGTTCAAAGTGACATTAGTTACATTAATGTAACTATCTTAACTCTAATTCATATTTGAAACAAAGAGAAACAAAATTAACCCCTTTCACTGAATAACTAGGTTAGCTTAACTACACTGTCATTACTGAAATTCCAGCATAAAGCATAAACTTTAAATAATGAAAATCATAAACGTTAAGTAAAGAAAATTATCTCTTTAGATTAAAAATATTTTTTCTTTTATTAAAAATATTGGCAACATCTAACACTGCTTCACAATCATAAATTTAAAAAAAATCCTCTGCATTTGAAGGAAAAAGTATATCCTGCCATCTACTTTTATTGTTAACGCACAACACTAAATCGAACAGCACAATCAACCACTTTTCTGTGTATAGATTTACACAAAATTCAGCAGCGATAAAAAAAGACAATAAAATAGTACTTACATTTCTACTAAATTTGGTGAAAGAATGGTGCATATAAAACCTGTGCATATAAACAATCGCAGTGTTTATTGTAAGCTGAGAGCTGAAATGTAACGTTGAGGAAATAATCAGAAAATACGTCTCCTGTCCAAAACCAATTCCATGGAAAATTACTGACCCGCAGAGGGAGGTCTCCTGACCCTAAAGCCTCCCGAATTTCATTCAAAACAGAAGCCCGATCTGAAAATAAATGAAAGCCTGCGGGGAGGGGGGGGGGGGGAGGGAGGCGGGGGGAGGGCAGGGAGATGGGTGGTCAGGGGAGAGGAAGAGTAGGCCGGACGCCAAATAAACAGAAATAACCTCTGAGCATTTCACTCTTAACACTGCTGAGAGGAGATCCCAGGGACTGAGGAAACTCAACACCGGACCAGTGGAAACCGGCGCGGCTCCGCTCCGCACAAAACCAACTCAGGGACATAAAGACCTCCCCACCGGCCGCCGGTGGGGAGCGCAGGTTCAAGCCTCGGAGAACAACTGGGCCCCGGATCGCGAACCTTCCTCCCTCTCCACCCCTTCGGCGACCCCGGAAAGTCTAAGCTGCCTCCCCCACGACACGGCCTGGGCGGCGCCCCTATTCCCGCCGCACCACGCGCCGCCCGGAACAGATTACACAACGCAGCTCCTCGGCCCGCATTCCCGGGCTCCCGCGTCTTCTCCCCTCCTCCGCCCGGCCCTGCGGCCGCTGGAACCCCAGCTTTCCCTCCCTCACCGCGGCCGAGGCCCTGAGGAGGCTGGGGCGGACGCGGCGCCATGTTCCCGGGACAGCGAGGCCCGGCCACTGGGCCGGGGTTGGGGGTGGGGGGGACCAGACCTGAGGGGCGGAGGGCCCCAAAGAGCAAAGGATACACATTGAGACGCTGCCCCATCTCCTGGATGAGGTTGGCCGCCTGCTGGCGGTTCGAGAGCTCTTTGTCCGCCTCCATTCCGCAACGGCGGCTCGGCGTGTTCTCCAGCTGTTCCCGAGTGAAGAACCAACGAGAAGAAGCTCCACGGCCCGACGCCATGACACTTCCTCCTCCGCCCGCTCCCTCACCCACACCCCGCCCCTCCCGGCTCGCGGACTCCCCGCCAAGGCCGTGCGACCCCGCCCCACTCTGCTCGCCGTAGGCTTCGCCCCGCCCCCTTTCCCTGCCCGCCGCCGCCTGTGCGCGTGCGCGAAGGCTTCACAACCGGCCCCCTCCGGTCTTTTGCTTTCTTTTTCCTGCCCTCCCCTCCCCCCCCTTCCTCCCTCCCGTCGCAGCGCGAGCTCACGGGACCACAATGCTCCGCGCCGTTTGTCATTGGGAGGCGCCGAAGGTGGGGGTCACGCGGAAGGAAAAGGTCGGCGCGGTGCATGCCGGGTGTAGGGTCGCTAGGCCTATAAGGTGTTGGAGGGAGGCGACTGGCCTTGTGTGGGTGGTGATGGGAGAGGGCGGAGTGGACGGGCGGGCGGCCGCGCTCTGGGCCTAGCCGAGATGGACTCGCGGCTCAGCGGTTTCTGCCGGGGACCACAGTCCGCAGGCGCTTTAAACCTTGTGGCCCCATCGGGATCTCACGCCGCCCCTGCGCGTGTGTGTGTGTGTGTGTGTGTGTGTGTGTGTGTGTGTGTGTGTGTCTGTCTGTCTGTCTGTCTGTCTGTCTGTCTGTCCGTCCGTGACCGTGTCCGTGTCCTGGACTTGAGCCCCGGGCCTGGGCACGGCCTCTGAGCTCTTTGGCTCCAGGCTAATGTTCTGCCAGATACTTGGGGCTTTGGGGTGGTTGCTTGGAAATTAGTCTCTCGGAATGTTCTGCCCGGGCTGGCCGGCGTGAGATACCGACCCCGGCGCTCTCTTTTGGCGGGGGCGGGGGGGGTGAGGGGGGGGGGAAGCGGTGCATTCTCGCAGTTTCTGAGACGCTCTGGGACGGAGCTAGCTGGGGTCGGGTGCATCGGAAATAGTGCTTGAGTCCTCTACCCCCAACGCAAAAGGCCCTGGAGTTTGGTTTCTGTTTTTATTTTTTTTCTTTCTGTTTTTTTTTTTGGGGGGGGGTGTCCGGTCGTGGGGCCTGAACTCTGGGCCTGGGCGCTGTCCCTCAGCTCTTCAGCTCAAGGCTAGCGCTCTACCACTTGAGCCACAGCACCACTTCTGGCTTTTTTTTCTGCTTATGTGGTGCTGAGGAATCGAACCCAGGGCTTTAAGCATGCAAGGCGAGCGCTCTACCACTGAGCCATCTTCCCAGCCCCTGTTTTTGTTTTCGTTTTCAAACTTGCTAAGGAATATGCCTTTAAATAACTGCAGGACCAGAATCTATAAACGAGGTCTCGAGTTCACCCTGGAAGTGTGCTATTTTTTTTTTAATTGTGAAAATACTGTACAGAGAGGTTACAATTACATGGGCAAGATAGTGAGTGCATTTCTTATCAAGCATTGTAGCCTCCTCCTTTGTTTACCCTTCCCATCCTCCCTCTCCCCCCCCCCCCAAGTTGTAAAGTTCGTTTTTGACATGACAACTTGTACTTCTCATTGTTGCAACAGGTCCACCTGTATCCTTATTTAAACGACTTGTTTTTCCCCGAGTGTGTTATTTTTAAACCACGCTTAGCTGTTGAAGAAAAAGATGGGAGGGAAATAGTGCAACTGAGTAAAGATCGTATCTTTAGTACTTGGTAAAGTGACATACCAATCGGTTTATCCATTTTCTCTTGAAGAAGATGCTACATCGTTTCACAGTAGTTGGGTGATGGGCTCCGAGACAACTCCTATTGTACGTGAACAAGTATGTTTAAATTTGTAACTGTTGGCTGAAGACCCAGGAAAGGTAAGACAGGTTTACCAAAGACAAGTGTAAATTTCAACAGTTTCTCATGAAAACTCCCGGCTTTTGTTTGGGGCTCCTGGCTCAACCTGCCCCCGTTGTATTATGTTATTTTAATTATAGTAGTTACCTTAGACAACTGCTTAGGTAACTTCATTTATTTGCCTCCTGGCTTGTGACTTAGAATGCCACAGATTTGATTCAAAGCAACATTTTTAACCTACATTCACCACTCATTTATGTTGAAAACTAGAAAAAGAAAACTTCCTCAACCAAAGTATACTTGTTTACGTACAATAGAAAATTTTCGTAAGTACAAAACAAAAAATGGAAATTAAAAGATTAGGGGGGGGAAGAAAATCTTATTCACAGATGACAAATGTTGTGTATAATAGCCCAAACAAATAACGGTCTTGTAACTAATGAAGTGATAGCTAGATTTTTGAGATACAAGGTAAATATATAAAAGTCAGTTGTTTTCCTGTGTAGTCAACAAAAAAATAGTTGGAAATTAAAATTGAAAACACATGTATTTACAATTATAGTCCCTACCTCAAAATAATAGATGTAGATCTAATATGCAGATCTGAATGTAGAATATTACAAAATTGATTAAGTCAAAGATCTAGAATGATTATGGGTTTATGGATTAGAAGAGTCAGATAACAATTTTTCGCAATTTGATAAATCAATGTAATCTCAAACAGAATTTCGTATGTCCCTTTAGCTACTACTACCAAATTGATTCTAAAGTTTATGTGGAAAAGCAAATGACACAAACCCCATGAATCATGAAGAAAAGTTGGATTAAGAATGTTAGGATTGATTAATGGAAGAAAATAGCCACACAAATAATCACCCAACCTTTCACAGAGGAGGTAGGGCAATACAATAAAGTAAGGATAGTCTTTACAACAAGCAGTACTAAAACAACTGGATATCAATGTTGAGAAAAAATGTCTAGATAGCTTATACTTTTCACATTTGTTGGGGGTTGGGGGGGGGGTTACTCAGGATCTGGGCTTTGTAATCTCAGCTCAGTAGGAGGTCTAGATAGGAAAATCATGGGGTTCCAGGCCAGCATGGACCAAGTTAGCATGAGACCCTATCTAAAAAACAAAAGCAAAAAGGACTGCGAGCATGATTCAAGTGGTGGAGTTCTTGCCTAGTAAGCATAAAGACATCAAACCCCAATACTGTGTAAATACTTAACAGAATAATCCATTCCTGTTCCTCCTCCTTACAAATAATTCAAAACTAGGAACTGGCTGGGGTCTAGTGGCTTGTGTCTATAATTTTACATCCTTAGGAGGCAGATCAGAAGAATTACGGTTCAAAGGCTGGCTTGAAGCAAAAGACAAACTTGGTCTAGTAGTATGTGCCTGTTATTCCAATTATATATATTCCAATTATAGCAGGGAGCATAAAATGGGAGGATTAAAGACCAAGCCAACCTGGCAAAAAATAAGTGTATCAAAAATAACCAGAACATATTGGGTGTGGTGGCTCATGTCTGTAATCCTAGGTATTCAGGAGGCTGAGATTCAGAGAATTGTAGCTCCAGGCCAGCCTAAGCTAAAAAGTTCATCAGATTCCATCTAAAAGGAATTATTGTGGATATTGTGGCAGGCAAGTCTTCATCCCAGCTTTGGGAAGCATAAAATAAGAGGATCGTAGTTGGGTCACAGCCCTGGCAAAAAGGACTAGAGACATGACTTTAGCAGTAGATTGTCTGACAATCTTGAGGCACTGAGTTCAAATTCCAGTACTGCCCCCTCAAAATAGAGCAAAAAGGATTCAAAGTGTGGTTCAAGCAGTAGAACTTTCTAGCAAGTGTCAAGTCCTTAGTTCAAACCTCAATATTCAACAACAACAACACAAATCCACAGTAAAAACTGAGAAACGACTTGAATGAATACCTCACAAAGAAGATTTAAGATAACATGAAAAAATGTCATGAGGGTATTCTTAGTAGCAGCTCATTGGAAAAGATTAGAAATGTGAGTGTCCATAAATTGAGAATTGGATGATTACAGTACAACTATGTAATTTTCATTCATAGTATTCAGCCATTAAAAACGAAGAGGCAGCTTATATACAGAATGATCACCAGAGATTAAAACTTTGGGTGAAATGAAAAAAGAAAAGAATGCATGTAAGTACTCATAAACTGTACGGAAACATTAAAAAAATAGAACAGGTAAAATAGGTTCTTTAGGGGAGTAGAGACCAAGTTGAATTTGATCTCTTTTTAACATGTTTTCAAAAATAAACTTTATTTTTATTTTTTTTTCATTTTTTTGTTTTTTATTGTAAAAATACTGTACAGAGGGGTTACAGTTACATGAGTTAGGTAATAAGTACATTTCCTTTTGAGCATTATTACCTCCTCCTTTGTTTTTCCCCTACCATCCCTTCCCTTCCCACTTGCCAACTCCCCCTGCCCTCGAACAAGTTGTAAAGTTTATTTTCATCATAGTGTCTTGTACATCTCATTGTTACAGTGGGTCAACCTGTATCTGTATTTCAGCATTTTGTTATTTCCCTTCCCCTTCCCAAATTTGAAAAGTGTATATACAAGATGCAGGGCACCTATATCAAATATAGTGAAAACAGGGGTTATACCATCTGGGAAGAACATACAAAAGAAACAAAAAAACCCAACACATAATACATTTTAAATATGCTAAAAAAAATAGCAAGAAAGAAAAAAAACACTTGTGTCTCTATCTTGGGGTTCATTTCACTTAACATCATCTTTTTTTTGGGGTCCGGTCGTGGGGCCTGAACTCTGGGCCTGGGCACTGTCCCTCAGCTCTTCAGCTCAAGGCTAGCACTCTACCACTTGAGTCACAGCGCCACTTCCGGCTTTTTTCTTTTTGCTTATGTGGTGCTGAGGAATCGAACCCAGGGCCTCATGTGTGCAAGGCAAGCGCTCTATCACTGAGCCACCTTCCCAGCCCCCTTAACATCATCTTATATGGTCATATGTACGAAGCTTTTGACGTTTTTTTTGCATGTCCTAGACTTATACTAGTTATTGCAAATAAGGGAAACCATGGGACCTATGTTTCTTTGGGCCTGGCTTACTTCACTTCATATAATTTTTTCCAAGTCTTTCCATTTCCTAACAAATGGGGCAATGTCATTCTTTCTGATGGAGGCATAGAATTCCATTGTGTATATATATATACCACATTTTCTTGATCCATTCATCTACTGAGGGGCATCTGAGTTGGTTCCATATCTTAGCTATGGTAAGTAATGCTGCAATAAACATAGTTGTGCTGGTAGCCTTAGTATGTTTGTGATCATTTGGGTAAATGCCCAAAAGTGGGATTGCTGAGTCGTAGGGGAGCTCTATGTGGAGTCTTGAGGAACCTCCATACTGCTTTCCAGAGTGGTTGAACAAGTTTACACTCCCATCAACAATGCAGTAGGGTTCCCTTTTGGCCACATCCCCTCCAGCATCTGTTGTTATTAGAGTTCTTGATTATAGCCATTCTAACGGGTGAGGTGGAATCTCTATGTTTTGATTTGCATTTCTTTTATGGCTAGAGAAGATGAGCATTTCTTCAGGTGTCTTGGCCATTCTCCTCTCTTCAGAGTTTATCTTTAAGTCTTTTGCCTACTTATTTATCAGGCAGTTGTTTCTTTGAAGATTTGTTGTTGGGGGATTTAGTTTTTTTGAGTTCTTAAGTATAGTTTAGATATGAGATCCTTATCTGTTGTATGGCTATTGAAGCTCTTCTCCCAATCTGTGGGCTTTCTGTTGATCTTGCTAGCTATGTCCTTTGCCTTGCAGAAACTGCAGTTTCATGCAATCTCACTTGCCCAACCTATCCTTGATTTGTTGTGTTTCTGGGTCATTATTAAGAAAATTTCGGCCTGTGCCAAGAAGCCCTAGAGTTTCTCCTATTTCTACCTGTAATATTTTCATGGCGTCTACTTTGACTCCGAGGTCTTTGATCCATTTGGAGTTGATTTTGGTGGAGGGTGATATATAGGGATCTAGCTTTAGTTTTCTACAGGTGTTAAACCAATTTTGCCAGCACCATTCACTGAAGAGGGTATCTTTCCTCCATTCTATTTTTTTTAAGCTCCCGTATCAAAGATTAGGTCTGTGGATTCATTTCTGGGTCTTCAGTTCTATTGCATTGGTCCTCAGGTCTGTTCTTGTGCCAGTACCAAGCTGTTTTGATTACTATGGCTTTGTAGTAGAGTTTGAAATTTGGTATTGATATTCCTCCAGCACTGTTCTTTCTGCTAAGGATTGTTTTTTCTATTCGGGTCTTTTATTGTTCCATATGAATTTTTGGATTGCTTCTTCTATTTCATTGAAGAATGATGAGGTTAGAATATTGATAGGTATTGCATTGAATTTGTAGATAGCCTTTGGAAGTATTGCCATTTTTACGATGTTAATTCTACCAATCCAGGAACATGGGAGGTTTTTCCACTTCCTAAGTTCTGCTTTAATTTCCTTTTTTCGGTTTTTAAAGTTTTCATCATAAGAGGTCCTTCACTCCTAAGTATGTTATTTTTTGTGGGGCTATTACAAAAGGAGTTGCTTTCCTGATTTCAACCATGCTCTTCTCATTGTTGGCATACAGAAAGCCATTGATTTTTGAGGGTTAATTTTATACCCTGCTACTTTGCCAAAGTTTCAAATCAGCTCAAGTAATTTGGGAGTGGAGTCCATGGGATTCTTTAAATACAAGATCATGTCATCTGCAAAGAGGGAGAGTTTTACTTCGTCTTTCCCTATTTGGATCTCCTTTACATTTGCATCTTGTCTTATTGCTGTAGTTAGGCATTCTAATACTAAATTGAAGAGAGGTGGAGAGAGTGTACATCCTTGTCTCATGGCTTTAGCTTTTCACTGTTGGGAGCCGACAGTAAAGTTTAAAGGTCATTTTGACCCTGGTGCTCACTTGAAGGCACATTCAAGAAACTGGCTTACTTAGAAAACACCAGGTGCCCGGGATTGCTTTGCTATGTCTGCAGAGTTTGTTTTACTTTCTACCAGTTGACCTTGTCTTGTTTTTACTGCACTCTGTTTTTATTGAAATTTTCCTTGTTTTTCTGGACTAGTGTAACCTTACGTTACCTCTTGACTTCTAATAGTATATATTAGGGAAAGTTAAAAATAAACGGGGCTGCAGTCTTGAGCTGCAGACCTCCCAATCCCATCCTTTGTTTTATGTCTTTATTTTTCTGCATCTCGCCCCCTAATTCAGGATTCCCTTTCGTTGCCGGCAGGCTCCGGCATTTCGCCTTTAAGTATAATGCCGGCTGTAGGTTTGTCATACACAGCCTTTAATATATTGAGGAATGTTCCATGGATTCCTAGTTTTTCCAGCACCTTCATCATAAAGGGATGTTAGATCTTGTCAAATGCTTTTTCTGCATCCATTGAGATAATCATGTGGTTCTTATCCTTGCTTTTGTTGATGTGATGAATTATATTAATCGATTTGCATCCCTGAAATGAATACTCTTTGATTGTGGTGTATGATTTTTTTGATGAATTGTTGAAGTCGATTGGCCAAAATTCTGTTGAGAAGCTTTGCATTGATGTTCATCAAATAAATGGGTCTATAGTTCTCTTTCTTTGATAAGTCCCTGCCTGGTTTTGGGATCAGGGTTATGATGGCTTCATTGAAAGAGTTTGGTCGTGAACTTTTACTTTGAATTTCATTGAAGAATTGGAGGAGTATTGGTGTAAGTTCTGCTTTGAAGGCCTTGTAGAATTCAGCTGTAAACCCTAAACTTTATTATTAAATTTTTTTTTTCATTTTTGTGTGCCAATCCTGGGGGCTTGACCTCAGGACTTGGGCGCTGTCCTTGATCATATTTGCTCAAAGCCAGCACTCTACCACTTGACCCACTGCTTTACTTCTTGCTTTTTGGTGGTTAATTGGAGATAAGACTCCCATATGCTTACTTGCCCCTGCTGACTTCAAATTGCGATCCTCAGGAATCAGTCTCCTGAGTAGTTAGGATTACAGGTATGAGGCTCTTGCTATACCCAAATTAAAAAGGGAATTGATTGATTCTTATGGTACCTGCACAATTTAACTTTTTTGTTTGTTTGTTTGGTCATGGGGCTTGAACTCTGGGCAAGAGTGCTGTCCCTCAGCTCCTTGTTTTTGGTGATAGTCCTAGAGATTTGAACTCAGGGCGTGGGTGCTGTCCCTGAGCTTTTTTGCACAAAATTAGTACTCTTATCATTTGAGCTACTGATCCACTTCTAGTTTTTTGTTTGTTGGTTGTTTTTGTTTTTTTTATGTTAATTACAGGTGTGAGTTTCAAGGACTTTGGTGATCTGCCTTTGAACAGTGATCAAATTTCAGCCTCTAGAGTAGCTAGGATTACAAGCATGAACCACTAGTAGGTGGCCAGTTTAACACTTTTTTTTAATTGTGAAAATACTGTACAGAGATGTTACAACCACGTGAGCGAGGTAATGAGTACATTTCTTATCAAGCATTGTTGTCTCCTCCTTTGTTTCCCCTTCCCATCCCTTCCCATCCCCCACTCCCACCAAAGTTGTAAAGTTCTTTTTTTTTTGACATAACATCTTGTACGTTTTGGAATGCAGCCAGAGGTATATGAACTACAGATGTTCATTACCTGTCTCACATACAAGTGCCTTTGTAGCAGCTCAGGTGGGATGAAGTCATAAAGTCACTAGACAAAGCAACCTGTATTGCTCAGATCATTCTTCACAGCTAGCTTCCTATATCCTGCTCAGTATTTTAAATTAAAAGAGCTTCTGGTAAAGTACATTTGTAGACTAAAACTATAATGGGCAAGAATGGATAAGTTGTCTGGCATTGATGGCTCACACCTGTAATCCCAGCTACTCAGGAGGCTGAGATCTGGGGATCACAATTCAAAGCTAACCCAATCAGGGAAGTCCATGAGACTTTTTTTTTTCAAGTGATAATTTTTTTTTATTATTGTGAAAATACTGTACAGAGGGGTTACAATTACACTGGCAAGATAATGAGTACATTTCTTATCAAGCATTGTAGACTCCTCCTTTGTTTCCCCTTCCCATCCCATTCTCTTCCCTCCCCCCACCCCCACCTAACCCATGAGACTCTTATTGCCAATTAACCACCAGAAAACTGGAAATGGAACTGTGTCTTAAAGTGGTAGAGTACTAGCCCAGGGACAGCACCTAGGCCCCACAACCTAAACAACACACACACACACAGAGGATGGATAAGTTTTATCCAGTCTGAAGTCACAGGTATGTTCCCATAATTTTGCCCTTCTGTCTATGTCCTATCCGGTAAAACTAAAAAAAGAAAGCCATATCTATCCTAGACTCAGCTCAAGTTCCAGACTCTGGGAAGATCTGCCCAGCTAGTCAAGATCAATATGAGTTTAATCTTCATGTTGTATTGTTCAGTAATTTCAATTTACTTTTTTTGGGGGGAGGGGTTGGTCATGGGGCTTGAGCTCTGGGCCTGAGCGCTGTCGCTCAGCTCTTCAGTTCAAGGCTAGCACTCTACCACTTGACTACAGCACCACTTCCTTGTTCAGTAATTTTCCCATGTACTTTTGCTTCTTTAATTGGATTATAAGCTCTTTGAGATTATGGGTTTCCTACATATGGGCTGCATTTATCATGCAAAATAATCACTAATATTGAGCTAATGAAAAAAGCTCTGAGTGGAAAAAACAAGTTTTTCAGGTCCATTCCAATGTCCTTGATAAAAGGAAAACATACGTGAGCCCTATAAAGTGAACCCTTATATAAATCATTAATAACATTTTTAGTTTTCCAGAGTAATTGAGGAGGAACTGGACAGTATTTTTTGATTTGCATATGAGATAATGTACTTCTTTTCAGAATAGCAATGTGAATCATGCCTATTATGAACAATTTAGGATACTTGGGTATATTCTATTTCTGGGAAAAGTGGTTCAAATGCATATATGACACACATTTATCTTCATGAAGTTTTGTTTTTATACTGAATTCATTCAAATTGTTTTTTCTCAAGTCCCAAAAATGCCAGGGCATTACCAGCTTTGAGTTTTTCCTAAAACAGAGAGAAAGAAGTGTTTATTATTATTACTATTACTATTGAATGTATTTTTTAGTACTGGTCTTGGGGTTTCAGCCAAGGGCCTGGGCCCTTTAGCTTTTTTATTCAGGGCCAGCACTTTCCACTTGAGCCACAGCTCCACTTTTTGGTGTTTTATTAGAAATGAGTCTCATGGACCTTACTAGCTGGGCTGGCTACTCAGATCTCATCCTCTTGAGTAGCTAGGATTACAGGTGTGAGCTATTGGTGCCTAGCTCGTTATTGATTGCTTTAAAGTATTTTATTGAATGTCTTCAGGTGGTTTTTTTTTAAACCTCTCCAGTATGAGACAAACATATTAGTAGGTTATTACTAAAACTCTTTAGACTAATGATGATTTTTGTGTTTTTTTTTTTGAGTTTTACCATGCTGTCCTCAAAGTTATTATATAACCCAGAGTGGCCTTGAACTTAACATCCTCATACCTCAGCCTTCTTGGGGTTGGGATTTCAGGTATGTACCACTCTATATGGCTTTGAACCCTGCTCCCCCACCATTTGAAGTCTGAAGCTTAATTATAGAAGAAAAGAAAGGTGCTTATAAAGGGAAGAGACTTCCTAGGAAAGTACTCTTCTTTGAATGTCATCAGTGAACTGTCTAGTAGGTCTTAAGGAGTGCTTGGAAGCAAATACAGAAAAAAGATGTTTAATTCTATAGGACAACAAGGCTGGAACCAGCAATGTAGCCATTCTCTGGCTTTCATGCCTTATCCTTATGGCCATCAGTAAAAGATTAGCTCTTTCATAGCAAGAGAAGTAATAACATGAGTCTCGGGTTGGGTACAAATCTGTACATTTCATAAATTTCATAAAGGACTCCTAATTTTTCTCTACCCTTTCTACTTTTATTGACTATATTAACTCTATAGAAAGAAGTGATTTGATAGGAAGTTTTGTAATATCCTAACTGATCTGTGTCTAGTCTGTAAAGATAGACATGTAGATGATGGTAGAAGGAAACATGTATGAAGTTGTGTAACATTCATACCATTCATGTATCTATCTGTATGTCATAATTGCTTCAGGATTCTTACATAGCTTTGAAACGTGGAGACTCACAGCAGAGATCTGTTAGTATTCTTCCCACAAAACACACTGGGGCCATTCTCTTCAGAGAACATTTTAGAAGTGATGGTAACTGCTTGGAAAAACCATTACTTTTTAAAATATGTTGATACTGTGTATCTTTTGAAGGTGATACCTTTTGGTGTGTTAGATAGAGACCTGATCCTGAAGTACAGGGTTTTGGAGTTGCTTCTGTGTAATGTAACTCAACCCTTTTGTCTCTTTTAACAAATTACTTAACAGCTAAGTCTTTGTTTTCCTTCTCTACATCTTGATGGTAGAATGAATCTTCACAATGTTTTTGTACTCATCAAATGGAGTTGATTTATACCTTAAATTTTTGTAAGGTGTTTACCTTCTTATGGTTCAAAATTCAAGAGGTATAAAACAGATACATTCTTTCACTACTGCCACCCAAATTCCACTTTTTCTTCCCAGATTTATCCGTTATTCTTCCAGAGATATTTTATACATGTATAAGAAAATATTTATCTTTGGTTCCAATGCTATTATTTTACACAAATGGATTAGTGTAGTGTCTACTAGTGGATTGTGAAATTGTGATAATGTGTTTTTATTTTTTTTTTTTTGGCAGTACTGCAAGTCCTCTACCAGTTGAGTCATAGCTCCACCCCTTTTTACTTTAGTTTGCTTTTAGATAAAGTCTCATACTTTTGCCTTGGCTGGACTTTTGCCTTGGACTGCAATTGTCCTATTTTATCCTCCTGAGTAGCAAAGATTACAGGCTTTTAGTACCAGGTCAATTTCTTGCTTGTGCCCTGTACCAGTGACTCATGCCTATATATCCTAGCTAATCAGGAGGTTAAGATCTGAGGGTCAGAGTTTGAAGCCAGCCTGGGTAGGAAAGTATTTGAGACTCCTACCTCCATTGAACCATCAGAAAACCCAAAGTGGTGTTGTGGCTCAAAGTGGTAGAGCACTAGTCTTTAGTGGAAAAAGTTCCTGAGCCCTGAGTTCAAGCCCCATAACCACCACCACAAACAGCAAAAAAGTTCTGGCTTGTTTTTGAGATAAGGACTTTTAAACTTTTGCCTGGCTGTCTCTAGACCATTCAGAAGATTTGAATGGTATGCCTTTCCCTTGCCTTCCCCTGGCCTCCATTGCTCTCTCCCCTCCTTCCTGTCCTTCCTTCTTTTCCTCATTCTGTTTTGTTTCTCTCTCTCTCTCTCTTTTTCTTTCACTGGGGCTTGAACTCAGGGGCTCACATTCTTGTTTAACTATTGCATTGAAGGTTGGTGCTCTACCACTTAAGTCACAACTCCATATAGAGTCTCTCGGATTTGTCTGCTGGGGCTGACAAATCTGATCCTAGAACCTGATCTTCAAATTTCAGCCTCCTGAGTAGCTAGGATTACAGGCATGAGCCACCAGCATCTGGGTTGAATGGCTATATCTCTCCTGCTCCTGGGGTTTGAACTCATGGCTTAGGCACGGTCCCTTGGCTTCTTTTGCTCAAAACTAGCACTCTTCCACTTGAGCCACAGCTCCACTTCTGGCTTTTTTTTTTTTTTTGTAATTTATTGGAGATGTCATGGACTTTCCTGCCTGGGCTGGCTTTGAAACACAGTCTTAGATCTCAGCTTCCTGAGTACCTAGGATTACAGGCATGAGCCATCAGTGCCTGGCTTGAATAGCTATTTAACAGATAGGAATAGACATTAAAAAAAACAAAACAAAACTTTGGGGTTCTACTCTAGGAAAAAAATAAGTATGCAAAAAAGAATTGTGACTTAAAATCTTTTGTAAGATTTTAAAGAATATTCGTATGTGACCATCCTTGACCCCTGGTAGTGATTCATTTTAAAGGCCTTAGGGGGGAAATAGTAATTTTAGGGGATTAGGTGCAGGAGGAGATGGCAAAGGGGAAGACATATGAGAACATTCACTGTAAACTCATTTTGGTCCAGGAGCTAAAGGGGTAGTTTAGGTAATGATAGCAAAATGACACATTTTAGTAACATTTATCCACAAAAAAAATACATTTAAGCGAGGGAAGGGGGTGACATTGTTAAAAAAAATGTATTCTTTATCTGACTTATGTAACTATAACCCTTCTGTATATCACCTTTATAATGACAATAAAAAATGAAAATAATACATTTAAAAATACATGTTAAAATTTATTTAAGTCAGGCACTGATGGTTCACATGTATAATCCTAGCTACTCAGGAGAGTCAGATCTGAGGATCACTATTTGAAGCCAGCCTGGATAGGAAAGTCCATGAGACAATTTTCTCTTAATTTCCCAGCAGAAAATTGGAGATGGTGCTTTGGCTCAAAGTGGTTGAGTATTAGCCATGAGCACAAATATTCATGGACAGTGCCTGAATTCAAGGCCCAGGACTGACTAAAAAAAAGTTTCTAGAGTGCTCTGAATCCTTGGCTGCTTGTTCTTGAAAGAAACTTTGGTCTCAATATCCAGAATAACTAGAGCCATTGCAAATTTTTAGATGGATAGATTTGTAACTGGAATATTCAAGGAAAAACAGATACTTTTCTTATGACCCATTTAATGTGTAAATTTGTTATTTTTTAAAAAATTATGTTATTATGGGATGCTTGTTTGCAGTTTTTTCTTGGTTTTATGAATTTTGCTGTACTAGGCTGATTTTTATCTTTACAGTTTTCTTTCTTGGTTTTATGAATTTAGCTGTACTAGGCTGATTTACATCTTTACAGTTCTCTTTCTTGGTTTTATTAATTTAGCTGTACTAGGCTGATTTTCTTTTCGTAGGTCGTGGGGCCTGAACTCTGGACCTGGGCTCTTCAGCTCTTCAGCTCAAGGCTAGCACTCTACCACTTGAGCTACAGCGCCACTTCTGGTTTCCTGGTGGTGTATTGAAGATAAGAGTTTCACAGACTTTCCTGCCTGGGCTGGCTTTGAACCGCGATCCTCAGATCTGAATAGCTAGGATTACAGGCGTGAGCTACCGGCTAGGCTGATTTTCTTTTGTCCTTTAACAGCCATTTCTGAAGATCTAGTGATAGTTCTAGTCATAGTTAATGTAACAGCTGCTCTGTATTTGTTACCATTTGTCAAAATGCTCAGAAACCAAACTCAATTAGAACAGCAAGACTCAGGAAGAAGAAGATGACATACATACCTTTGTTTCTTCATCAAATTCTTCCATGGACTCTATCAGTTTCCCAGGTTCTAGCTCACCTAGTGGAAAGGGGTAATCAGTTCCCAAAATGACTTTATCCTACAAAGAGAAAATGTATTTTCATTTACAAATTTTAAGAACATCAAACACCCTATATAGACTTCATTTAATTATATATACTTTTATGATGAAATAACAAATTTCCTCCTGATGAAAAGAAAATCGTCCAAAAAAATTTTAATAGTTCAACTTTTAACATTATTTCCAGTAGGTGTCACTATTAGGTCTACTAAAGTTGCAAATCAAACTTAAAAATCTTTCTTCCTCTCCTCTCCTTTCTCCTCCCCTCTCCTCCCTTTCCCTCCCCTCTCCCCTCCTTCCTTCTCTCTATAACTGCAATATTGCAATACAAGAAATAGGCATTTACTTAGTAAAATACATTGACACATTCATATCAAGTTAAGGACCCTTTCTTAGAATGATATAACACCGTTGATTACACTTTTTTTCTTTTTTTTTTTTTTTGTCGGTCATGGGGCTTGAACTCTGGGCCTGGTGCTGTCCCTCAGCTCTTCAGCTCAAGGCAAGCTCTCTACCACTTAAGCCACAGTGCCACTTCTGGTTTTATGGTGGTTTATTGGAGATAAGAGTCTCACAGACTTCCCTGCTGGGATTGGCTTTAAACTGTGATCCTCAGATCTCAGCCTCCTGAGTAGCTAGGATTACAGGTGTGAGCCACCACCACCTGGCTTGATTTCACAATTTTTGAAAGCACATTAGAGTTTGAAAGAAGATTGGATACAAGGTAAAAGCAAAATAAAACAAAACCAAAAAAAGCATAAACCTCATAACAGTTCAATCACTGTCTGGTAGATAACAGGATTTTTTTGAATGGCGTAGCTTTAAATTTCCTTTAGATATACTATACAACAGAATCACAGGCTTGTCAGTATATACATGTATTAAGCAGTATGTCAGTCGTGTGCTAGAATCTAGATGTGCCCTAGTCAAGAGAGCATCTGTTGTCCTTGTTCTCAGGGAACTTATTACTGAGAATGAGGGAAAGTAATAGTATCAAAATATAATAAAAACATATCTCAACCTGATTCATTACTTGTATAAATGTATTTCATGGACTCCTGTGAGGAAATTATTTAAGTTAGTTGTAGTTAAAAGACTACACAACTAAATTGTAGAATATCTGAAAATAGAAAAGAATAAAGAATATTTTATATGCTGAAATGAATACATGTAAAGAGGAATGGTGTTGAAGGCATATTGTAAAGAAGAAAAATGTACTGAACAATGTATCTGTTATGCATGTTTCTGTGGTTTTTTTTTTTTTTTTTGGCCAGTCCTAAGGCTTGAACTCAGGACCTGGGCGGTATCTCTGAGCTTCTTTTGCTCAAGGCTAGTACTCTACTACTTGAGTCACACAGTACTACTTCTGGCTTTTTCTTTGTATGTGGTACTGAGGAATCAAACCTAGGGCTTCATGCATGCTAGACAAGTACTCTACCACTAAGCCACATTCCTAGCTGCATGTTTCTGTTTTTAATGAGGGACTTATGGACCCACAAATGCATGATTGTACATATAAAACCTAATTCAGGAATGATGCAAGTAGTAAAGCACTTGCCTAGGGTGTACCCAGACACAAAAAAGTGACCTCAAATTTGGGCTGATACACGGCTTTATAGTCATACACACACACACACACACATATAGTCATATATATATAGACATATACATACATATGACCATCTGCTTTTCCTAAGAAAATGTTTAGCATTCCTCATACATACTTGAGAAATTTTCTAAGACTAATCAATTTAAGAACACTTCCCTAGAAACCTACTCCATTATAAGACTGAAACTAGGGTAAGACCTTCAATAATTCAAGGAGACTTCCATGTTCATTTTTTTCTTTTTTAAATCCAGTGAACATAAATTGTCTAGCCATTTTCCCCATATAGCAGCTCTGCCAAGTGTGATTATTTGAACTGGACTTTTGGGAAGCCTCTTCCTGAGGACAAGTTTGGAATATAACTGACATACTTATAATCCATTTGAGACTTACTTAACAAATGTGTTTGTATTGAAGGAATGAATGAAAATATGAAAGAGGGAAGTCTTATGTAACAAGACCTGAAATACTAAATATATTTTAAATACTCCAAGTAGGTGCTATTGTGAGGGCAAATAACATGATTTGCACCAAAGAAAAGATTTTTTAGGCCTTACTAAGACATTTTTATGAAATAGGAAAGTATATAATAAAGTTTATGAGGTTAAGTAAACTAGCAAATCTGTTTCAAGGTTTCTGTATTAATTTCTCTATGAAACCAAGAAAATAGACCTGCTGATAAAACCCCTAAAGACCCAAAGTTATGTCCCCTCACATCTGTACCAACAGCTGATCGTATTCTGAATTGTCTGCTTGGTATTCAGTGGAGGTTCATTTGTCTTTTTTTCTACCTTCTCTTGCCAAAGCTGTTTACAGTTCCAAAACACAACACAATTTTCAAGTCCCATGCTTATACCACATTTGTCAACTGTATGAACATGAAAGTGAAAGCTAGGAATTAATTTTGTTTTCTAGTCAAGAATACTTCCCTTCCCACTAGCATAGTCTTCTCAGATATAATAAACATTTTTAAGAGGAGGTCTGTTTTTATTAATGTGGAGAAAAATAATTCTAAGAAATAACCATTTTTCTGCAATTCATCCTTGATTAAGATACTTCCTTGTTTTCTTTCCTAAGTTAATTCACTGCTGAATATCGTGAATATCGCATTCATTTTGTAACACTATTTAAATATTTTTGTACTTATTGTTAACAACTCCTTTCTACAGGATGTTAATTATTATCTGGCTTGTGAATTTTTCTTACTTGAGACCTTTTAGTGTACCTTTTATTTATGATTTTTGGTAAACTTTTAGACTTATTTTGTGTGTGTATATATGGGTCCTGGGGCTTAAACTCAGGGTCTGGGCACTATTCCTGAGCTTGAGGCTGGTATTCTACAACTTGAGCCACAACTTTACATCCAGCTTTTTTAGGGGAAGGGAGAAGAGGGAATTAATTGGAGATGAGAATCTCATGGACTTTACTAGTCAAGCTAGCTTTGAACTGTGGCCCTCAGATCTCAGCTTCCTGAAGGTAGGATTGCAGGCATGAGCCACTGTCACCTGGCTAAGTTTTGGACTACTTTTAACTTGTAAGATATCTTATAAAGGAGAGAAAAGTAGGCATAAAAAACTGGAAATGAAATTCTCATTGAGGTTTCTTATGATGGAGATGAGATGGGGGAATGAATGTCATCAACCATTCTATGGTCTTGTTGGATGAAGGCAATACATTGCATCTCTGAATTCCAGAATTTACTTGATAAATGCTTAGTAAATACTTGAGTTAAAATACTTTTTCAATTGTTATTTCTGTAACATTTTCTCATAACTGCAAATTGGCCATATGTTTAATTAATTACATGAAGAATACTGGGTTTAGAATGTTTATAATGTAGCCGTGGGTGACTATTGCTGTATTTCCTATTGACCTTAGTCCCCTGGGCTAAGTGTTTCCAAGTAAGGTTCCCAAGTTTTATACATAATCATACTTATCACTGGCCTGTTCAAAGCTAAATTTTCTTATCTTGTCTGTAATCCAAGATTTTATTCCTTTGAGATCTACCATGATCATGAACCAATTTTTAAATTGTTCTAATGTGATGGTAATGTAACATTTCACAGAATCTACTGAATTTTAATAACCTTTTTTGTGGTAACAAGGTTTTACCTTGGCTTCACTGTTAGTGGGCAATTGTCATGACTTAGTAGGGATGTTCTGAAGATTCTGTTTGAGTTGAATGTGGCAGTACATGCCTGTAATTCCAAAACTGAGGAGACTGAGGCAGAAAAGTCACAAATTTGAGGCCAGTATGAACTAGATTGGAAGACCCTGTCTTATAAACAGTAAACAAACAAAGGCTCTCTTAAACTCAAAGGAAATTTTTTTTTTTTGGGGGGGGGGGGGGTCTGGCCGTGGGGCCTGAACTCTGGGCCTGGGCGCTGTCCCTCAGCTCTTCAGCTCAAGGCTAGCGCTCTACCACTTGAGCTACAGCGCCACTTCCGGCTTTTTTCTTTTTGCTTATGTGGTGCTGAGGAATCGAACCCAGGGCCTCATGCATGCAAGGCAAGCACTCTACCACTGAGCCACCTTCCCAGCCCCAGGAATAATTTTAATGATAGGATTTTAGGAATCATAACTACCTCTTCTGGGATCCCCAAATTATACGAGACAGATGTTGGTTTTTCTTATTAGGCAGTAAAAATGCAGTAGATAATCCTGATGGATTTTTCATATCAACACTCTTCCAATTTCATTTCCCTCCCCAAATGTAGCAGCAGCACACATCTCCCTATGAGGTAAAAAACGTACTGAGCTGATAATAATAGTGATTAATATTCCTGCCAGGGAGAAGGAATAAACTGCTCACCTGCTGGGAAGCATTAACTTCTATTTTCAGGGAAAGCTGCAAACACTGAAAGATATAGCTTATTAAATGTTATAGTAGTGGATGAGAGTTCCAGTTTTGCTTTTTGGAAAGGAACAATTAACTGTCTTTCATTAGCATATCTCATTAGTAACATTTGTAAGAAAAACAATATAACTTTCATAACATAGGTTACTACAGAAAATTCAGGTATATTGGAATTCAGTTTGTTACTTGACACATAATTTCATAGGAAAAGAGCCTGGTTTAGGTCAATCAATACAAAATAAGATTAGCTTTATATCCCCAAGGTTATTATCAGCTCAATTAAACAAACGTTAAGTTAATATCTACTATTTGTGAAGCACCAGAGTAGATGTTATAAATCCCTGACATTTGTAGTCCTTTGGCATAGTATTACACTAAATCTTCACATCAACTCTGTTTGGTTATCATCCCCACTTATAGTTGAAATGGCTAGGACTGAATGGGCTAAGTGACTTGATATCAAAGGCCACAAAGTGAATAAATGGTAGAGTCAGACCCAAACCTTTCTACCACCTTTCTACCTCCCTCTCAGGAGGCTACAGACATTTAAAAAAATGATTGCATTCTACTTCAGATTGCAATGCATAGAGTTATATCATTTAGTCAAAACTTCAGAAGCTAAAGTATTTTGCTGGCTAATATACCATAAGAATCTCACAGATTTGCTGCTTGAGCTGGCTTCAACCTGAGATCCTGAAATCTCAGCCTCTTGAGTAGTTAGGATTACATATTTGAGCCTATAAAGGATTTCCTATTTTGCAGAACAGGAATTTCTTTCCTTCCTCCCCTTCCTCCCTCCCTCCCTTCTGCCCGCCCTCTCTTCCTTCCTTCCTTTCCTTCCTTCCTTCCTTCCTTCCTTCCTTCCTTCCTTCCTTCCTTCCTTCCTTCCTTCCTTCCTTCCTTCCTTCCTTCCTTCCTTCCTTCCTTCCTTCCTTCCTTCCTTCCTTCCTTCCTTCTCTCTTCTTTTTTTTTTTGTTGGTCTTGGGGCTTGAACTCTGGGCCTGGGTGCTAGTCCTTGAGCTCTTCAGCTCAAGGTGAGCACTCTACCACTTAAGCTACAGTGCCACTTTTGGTTTTCTGGTGGTTAAGTGGAGATAAGAGTCTCATGGATTTTCCTGCCTGGGCTGGCTTTGAACCGTGATCCTCCTGAGTAGCTAGGATTACGGGCGTGAGCCACTGGTGCCCAGCTAGAACAGAAATTTCTGGCTTTTCTTTTAAATATAAAGAAAATATGTATAAATATTTTTATTGGAGTGACTGAAAGTCTAATTTTTAGGAACTCTTTGCTTAAAAAATTGAGATGAGGGGGCTGGGAAGGTGGCTCAGTGGTAGAGTGCATGCCTTGCATGCCAGAGGCCCTGGGTTCAATTCCTCAGCACCACATAAGCAAAAAGAAAAAAGCCAGAAGTGGCGCTGTAGCTCAAGTGGTAGAGCGCTAGCCTTGAGCTGAAGAGCTGAGGGACAGCGCCCAGGCCCAGAGTTCAGGCCCCACGACCCGACCCCCCCCCCCCAAAAAAAAAAAAAATTGAGATGAGTTCATATGGCATAAAACTAACTTTTATTTCTTATTTTCTTTTTCTTTTTTTTATTAGGTCTGAGACCAGGACTCGAACTCAATATTTGCTTCTTTCTTTCATTGGTTAGCATTCTACCAACTAAACCATGCCTCCAACCCCCAAATTAATTATTTTACAGCACACAGTTCAGTGGTACAGAACATACTCATGTTGTGAAATATTGCCTATGTCATATCCTAATAACAATGTATCTAAAAAGGTCATCAATCTCAAGAGTTAGAACATTTATGCCCAAAGAACAGGTAAAGGCATGTGAAGAACGCATTTAATATAAAAGATTGAAACTTAAAAGTTGATATAGAAGATTTGCATGGATAAATAAACTTCCCAAAATTCTGTGTATTCAAAAAGATAAGTATTACGCTTGTCTAACAGTAACATCATGGTTTGTTTGTTTTAAATAACAACAACAAGAAGAAAAACAGCAATAAACTCTTGGTGGTGGGGAAGGAGGCCAACTAAATAGAAGGCCTTCTCAATAAAGCTAAGGAAATTGTCCAGAAAGTAAAACAAAATGTCCAAAAGGTTGAATGTATGGTTGAAAAAAGATTCAATTTTAGAATAGTAAGAATCTTAGCAGAGGAAAAGAAATCATTAAAGAACTGATTTCAAAAAGTTAAAAGTTCCATTTTAGAATTAAGAATCTTAGAAAGCAGGGGGAACGATCATTAAAGAAATAGTTTTTAAAAGTGTATTGAAGGGCTGGGAATGTGGCTTAGTGCCTAGCATGCATGAAGCCCGGGTTCGATTCCTCAATACCACATGAACAGAAAAAGCCAGAAGTGATACTGTGGCAGAGGTGGTAGAATGCTAACCTTGAGCAAAAGAAGCTCAGGGACAATGTCTAGGCCCTGAGTTCAAGCCCCAGGACTTCAAAAAAAAAAAAGGAAGGAAGAAGATAATGGCAGGCTGCATTCAGATCATCTAGTCTCAAGAGAAACCTTGAACCAGAACATACCAGCCATGTGGCTCCTGATTCCTGACCCAGAAAAAATGTTAGATAATGTTTATTATTTTAAATCACTTGGTTTTTAGGACTATTGGGGTTTTGCTTAATGAAGTGAAATGTAAAAAGACTTATAAAAGACAAAGAGAATTAACAGAAACAACAGACATTTGGGATGAACGGAACAGACAATACAATGAGAAGACACCTTTATACAGGCATGAAGCAGTGTGTAAAAACTACTCAGCCAACATTCATGGAAAAGGAAAGATGGCTCAGAGAGATAGAACCAAAACCTACGTGACTCATTCCCATATTTTGAGTTTTAGTTAATTAGATATCAATATATGCCTGATGAATTTAGGATTTGCTCCTGAGTAGTGACTTGAACCTCTGGGTGTGTGTGTGTGTGTGTGTGTGTGTGTGTGTGTGTGTGTGTGTGTGTGTGTGTGTGTGTGTGTGTGTGTGTGTGTGTGTGTGTGTGTGTGTGTGTGTGTGTGTGTGTGTGTGTGTGTGTGTGTGTGTGTGTGTGTGTGTGTGTGTGTGTGTGTGTGTGTGTGTGTGTGTTTCTTTTTGGAATAGGAAAGTCTATAGCAACTATACTAAGCTGGGGCCACTATTTTATATTAAGTGTAGGGATAAGGCAAGAGACTTAATTCTTTAGTTTTTAGTTCTTCAGATTGAGAGAAATTGTACATGAAGAAACTCACCACACATTCATTTAGATAATGAGATTCTTAGACGTCAAGGTGGTGCTGTAGATAGAAAAGACTTTTGGGGTAGTCTTGGTGGAGGAGATGTTTTAAATTTAAGAAGGCTATAGATCTTGAGCAATCAGAGGGAAATTTTAGTAGTTTTAAAAAAAGTCTTCAAATTTTCTTTGATATTCTTCCCTTCAAAAGATAGAGACAAATTCATTTTCCTTGAATGTGGGCCAGATTTAGTGACTATGAATAAAATGTAGCAAAAGTAATGCTACGACTTTTAAGTTTAGGTCATAAAGAGGCTAGCTTCTGGAGGGCTTTCTGGCTGTCTGTTCTCTCTCCGTCTTTGTCTGTCTGTCTCTTTCTCACTCTGTCTGCCTCTCTCTCTCAATTTTCTCATTCTCAGAATAACCAGCTGTAGAGAGACCCACTCTGGGAGAGACCCAGTACCCACATGCCAGTCATAAGTAAAAATCCTTGGAAATAAATCCTTCAGCCCCAGTCAAGCCTTCTCATGATAAGTCCTGATGGATAGCTTGGCTGCAAGGTAGGAAAGCAATGTAATAGGTGTATAACATATAACTAGTATTCTTTTCGCCTGTCTTTAAAAATAAATAGACAGATTAAAAGTAAATCATTTTAAGGTTAGAGGGAAACTAAGATATTATGGAATTTAAGTCCTTGACATAGTGTTTTGGTACGCCCAACTTTGTTGTTGTTGTTGTTCCTGGGGCTTGAATTCAGGGTCTAGGACTGTCCCTGAGCTGTTTTGCTCAAGGCTAGCACTCTGCCAACTGAGCCACAACACCACTGCTGGCTTTTTAAATTGGAGATAAGAGTCTCACTGACTTTCCTTCCTAGTCTGGCTTCAAATCCCATCCTCAGATATTAGCCTCCTGAGCAGAATTACAGGTATGAGCCACTGGCTTAAAAAAAATGTATATATATGCATATATACAGGCACATATATGACCATATATATATACAGATTGGATATATACATATTCTTATTTATAAAATGGAGATTTACCAAAATAATACCTACAAATAATTGGATAACCAAGTATAGGATAATCAAATATTGCTCAAGTACTATATGTTATATTATTGAAAATTGTCTTTTGCTCATTTTCCCAACCCTTTGTTTGTGTGTAATACTAAGGTTTGAACTTAGGGATGCATGTTTACTAGGCAGGTGTTCTATCAACCAACTATGTCCTCAGCTCAAACTTTCCAACTAACTTTTATCCCCTAAAACAGCTACTTTTGCTTTTTTTTTTTTTTTTGCTTGCTCATGGCTGGTTCTCTACCACTTGAGCTATGGCTCCAATCTGGCATTTTCCTAGTTGTTAGATACAGATCTTGAGGATTTTCCTACTTCAGTTCACTTGGAACCTTGATCCTCTAATCTCAGCCTTCTGTGTAGCTAGGATTGCAGGCATGATCCATCAGCAACCTCTCATTTTTACCTTCTTAACTGACTCTACTGATAGCTATCTTCATAATCCCAGATAAAAAGCTTATGCTATTGTTTCTTGATTTATGAGCTTTAGATATTATTACTGATATCTATTTATGGTTGTTGAGAATTTCTTTCTTACCTTCAACTTCTCTAAATTCCAAAAAAATTAAAATCTTCAGTTAAACCAATATATAGTTTTTACACTTTTATGACTATGAATATTATTTGGTACTGAGTCAAATAATGTAAAATAATTATCTGCCCTCATATAGATCTTTGTTTTGTTAGAATTGTTTCCTAGTTCACCAATGGTTCTAATTAATGACTGACAGTGATTATTACCTGCTCTCAAGTACACCCAATAATAATCAGCTCCATTTTGTCCTTCCTATATGTAGACTTCCCTCCGTAGGCAACTTGTTCTTTTGCCCTAATCTAGCTAGGTTACGTTCTAACTCAGATGTCCAGCTAAACTTCCCTTGTCCATTCTGACTTGGAGATCTAAACGTTTATTATTATATTGGCATGAAATAAGTGTACAAAGAAGTTTCAATACAACATGTTGATTTATGTGTACAGTATATCCTGATCAGTGTCACCACTTTCATCATTCTCCTCCATCTATGCTATCCTCACCCACCCCTCATTTGCTAGTTTCATTTTCACATAGGCACATTGAGTATTATGACTATATTCTGACTATATTTTCTCATAGTTCCTCTCTCTGTTCACTATCCCTCCTCCCCTTAATCCTCGGACAACACATGTTTCAGCTTATTGGCATTCATTTTTTAATATGGCTTTGTATGTGCTTTCATATATTTTAATCTAACTTCCACATATGAGGGAAAACATGCATCTTTCATGACTTACTTCATCCAACACAATTTTTTCTAAGTCCTTGGGGATTTTTTTTCAAAAAGAGAATCTGCTAATGTGAACATATCCAGAAAGGGAAAACATTAATATTTTACAGACAATCCTAAATAATTAATGTATGTCTTCTATATCCTGGACTCACTAGCCTGTGAAATCATGTAAAAGGAGATTACATTTAATTCTTGTGCCCAAATTATTGTAGTTCAAGATTTCACACTTAGAATGTAAGAAAGATCTTGGGCTGGGAAGGTGGCTCAGTGGTAGAGCGCTTGCCTTGCATGCCTGAGGCCCTGGGTTCGATTCCTCAGCACCACATAAGCAAAAAGAAAAAAGCCGGAAGTGGCACTGTGGCTCAAGTGGTAGAGTGCTAGCCTTGAGCTGAAGAGCTGAGGGACGGCGCCCAGGCCCAGAGTTCAGGCGCCACAACCGAACCCCCCCCCCAAAAAAAAAGAATGTAAGAAAGATCTTAGTAGAATTACCTTTATAAAGTGCTTTTTGAGTTTTCTTGGGGAGGGGCATATAAGAATGCAATCACCTGTGCTCACCAATCTACCCACTGGTTATTATGAGGCACTTATGTTCCTCCTCTTCTGCTTTGGCTCCTTGGCCAATGTGTATTATATGAAGGTACTAACAATATTCTTCACTGCTGATAGTTTTGCTCGAAGATGGGCTTTGAATATGCCAAACATTCCATGATGTTTCCATTTCCAAGAATACTGGGCTTGTGATGAGAATGATCCTTTACTTAGTTCCCTACCTCTTTCCATCTTCTCTTTCTACTGAAAATCCAGAGCTCACTCTCTTCCAACTTCTCTACTTTGTGGTTTCATGGTTACATACTTCCTTATCACACTCCATTCAAATAAAAAAAAAATCAATAGTCACAACCAACTGCTAACATTTCTACAGAAGCTAAGGTCACACAAAAATTAGATAACTAGAAGTTATAGTTCAACCACACACAGTAGTAGCTCTTACTGGGGGCTTGCTTTCCCTGGCTTCAATTATCCTAAGTTAATGACAGTCTAAAAATATTAAATAGAAAGTGTCAGAAATAAATCTTTCATAGGTTTTAAATTATGAGCCATTCTGATCTTGATAAAGTCTTGCACTGCCAGGCTTCATCCATCCTGAGGTAAATCATCCCTTTGCCTCGGATATCCATGCTGTATATGCTACCTCTCCATTAATCATTTAGCAGTTATCCTGGTTTTTAGATTGACCATCACAGTTATTTCCATGCTTGTATTATATGGTTTGGTACTGCTTATGTCTTTAGACATCTACTGGGGTTCTTGTAATACATCTCCTTTGGCTAAGGGGGAAACTATAATTTTATTGCCAAATTAGAATATTTAACATTTATACTCTAGTGATTTTCTCTAATTAAAGGAACAGTGTCAAAGAATTCTACAGTTGCAAACATATTTGCATCTTACAAATGATGGACCTCTTTTGAACAAAATTCTAAAAAATCTTAGTATCTAATCTCATTTCAAGTCCCTTACTTAAACCTTTAAATACACACACACACACACACACACACACACACACACTTTTAGAAAAATCTCAAAGATGTTTCCCTAGGAAAATTTGGGAACCTTCTATACTTAAAGTAATAGAATGGAGGACTGAGTACATGGCTCAGGTGGTAAAGCACTTGCTTAACATGTGTGGAACACTGGGTTCAATCCCCAGGAACACACACACATACACACATGTGCACACACATACACACATAGTATAAGTAATAAACTGGAGATGAAAAAAATTTGGCCATTGGGTCCCAAACTCTTGGATTCAACCAATTATGGATTGAAAATACTTGGGAAAAAAATACTTCTACACTGAACATGTACAACTGTTTTTCCTTATGATTATTTCCTAAGCAATATAATATAATAACTATTTACTTGCATTTACATTTTAATAAGTATTATAAGTCATCTATGGATGATTTAAAATATATAGGAGGATGTGTGTAGGCTATATGCAAATACTATGCCATTTAATATAAGGTACTTGAACACCTTAGGATTTAGTATCTTTCAGAGTCCTGGAATCAATTCTCTTTGGATACCATTATTTCAAACTTTTTTTTGCTAATTTCCTCTAACAATTGTTTAACTTGTCAAGTAACTGGCTACTGATCCAGCATTCTGTAGCCTATAGCCACCCAATAGCAGAGCCTGCTTACCTTTCCTATGACATCTGTTAACAGCTTAAGAGACCGATGATCGTGAACCAAGGAGTCTGTGTAAAAGGAACCAAGGTATTTCTTTGGGTCATTTGGATTGTCCTGGGCACATAGATCTGGGCGCATATTGAATCCATGGGAGATTCTTCCCATTGTGAAAGGGAAAGCACCACCTGAAAGTAAAACTAATTACTGAGGTGCAAGTGTTGCTTATAAAGGATCTCTTTTGCTGGGCATGATGATGCACACATGTAATTCCAGCACTTGGGAGTCTGGGGTAGGAGGATCATATGTTTGAGGCCATACAAAGTATTCTAGGTCATCTTCAGTTACATGACACAACCCTGTCTCAAAAAAAGAGATTCTTTTCCGTTCTGATGTTTGTATACAAGAAGTTATCCCTCTGGCTAACAATATTTACAAAGGACCTGCTTGATTCTAGATGCTGCAGTGACCCAGAAGAAATGACATGAACACATCTAGAGCATCAGATTTGAGATTTGTAAATCTTTACTCTTTTTTGGGGGAGGGGGTCCGGTCCTGGGGCCTGAACTCTGGGCCTGGGCGCTGTCCCTCAGCTCTTCAGCTCAAGGCTAGCGCTCTACCACTTGAGCCACAGCGCCACTTCCGGCTTTTTTCTTTTTTCTTATGTGGTGCTGAGGAATCGAACCCAGGGCCTCGAGCATGCAAGGCAAGAGCTCTACCACTGAGCCACCTTCTCAGCCCCCAGATTTGAGATTTGTATCTTAAAGGGAGAAGACAATATGCAATGATATTTGGTCAACATTTTATGTGTGTATGTATATGGGGTCTGGGGCTTGAACTCAGGGCCTGGGTGCTATCCTAAACTTTTCTTTGCTCAAGGCCACTGCTCTACCATTAGAGTCAGAGTTCCACTTCTGGAACTGTGGTAGTTAGTTAATTTTTGGTAGTTAATTGGAGATTTTCATTCTCAGGCTGGCCTCAAACTGTAATCCTCAGATCTTAGCCTCCTGAACAGCTAGGATTTCAGGTATGAGCCAACAGAGCCTGACTATGGTCAGCATTTTGTAGTGTGATTATCATATCACAGTAGTAATACCACCCATTAGTGAGTGTAAATCATGATGCCATATTCATAAAACATATGAAGCCATAAACTAATGGAGCACTGTATTTCTTGACATGGAAAGATGACTATGCATCAAGAGGGAAAAGTAAATTAGAGAGCAACATATACAATTTGATATTATGTATTTAATATGTGCAGCAAAACATTTCAATTACATATAGAGACTGGGCAAGCAATGTAAAGGAATGATATAGGCCTATTTTAAACAATTCAGAATAACAGGGACTAGAGAGCCTATATTTTGACTAGAGATATTTAAATAAAAATAAAGCAAAAAGCTATGACAACCAAACTAAACTTGCTTACAAAAAATAGAATTTGACCCCCAAACTATTACATGACTAGAATAATAGTTGGAAAGATGTTGCAGACTGAACTGAATCTTTCTAGAACTCAGATGTAGAGGCCCTAACCTCTAATGTAACTATATATGGACATAGGGTATTTAAGAAAGGCAAGGCTCTAATCCAAGACGGATGTCCTTATGAGGAAGAGGAAGAGATGCAGAACTCTCTGTTTCTTTTATCTGTCTTCCATTTTTCTGTCACCCCTCCATGCATAGAGGAAGGGCCAGGTGAGGATTCAGTGGCCTTTTATGAACTAGGAAGAAAACTTTATTTTAAATCAATCTTGCCAACACCTTGATCTTGGACTTTTTGCCAAAATACATGTGAGTTGTTTGAACTACCTGGTTTTTGACATTTGGTATGGAAGCCTGAACTAGTACATATAGAGTCTTACCTCCATGTGCAAAGCACACTTTCAGTTTTGGAAACTTCTCAAACACTCCACCCATGATCATGGAGCAAATGGCCATGGTCGTTTCTGCTGGCATTCCTGGAAGAGGAAATAGTCACAAGGTTTTTGTAAGAAGGCTTGGAGAATGGCAGCTATGGCTGAGGAATTGTCAAGTGCCAAGAAACATGGGGCCACTATAGTACGGTGTAGCTGTATAAAGTATGCATAGGCCATACTTTGACAAAGAGAATCCTTTGAAGCTTCTTATTTGCCTTCTGTAGGGAGAACTGTCTAATGGCTAGGACAGTTGAGAAACCTGAGGACCTAGTTTTTAATCCTTATTTTTCTGACCTCATTTTTAGGGCAGAGTGTAAGAAATATATGCTAAATGCTAACGCTTGCAATTTTCTGCCTCTTGGCCTGCTAGAAGTTATTTAATGTTCATGAGCCTGTGCTTCTCCATCTGTAAGATGACAGTGTTTCCTATCCTGGGAAGCTTTTGTGAAGTTGTGCAAATAATGATGTCAGCAAAGTTTCTGATTAGGACTTCCCATTGGAGGCACTCAACAAATATTAGTTGCCTCTGATTTAATTTCCTCATCTGTAAACTGAGGATAATAATTATTAATTCCTCCCAGTGGATTATTTTGAGGATTTAGCACTTAGTTTTTGCTCACTAAATACTAACTACTAAATATTAACTACTTTATTATTATTCATGCCAATTCTTTGCTGCCTCTTAGAGCTAAGGTTGAAAAAACACTGCATCAATGTGAATTACTACAAGTGTTTGTGCTTCTAGGAAAAACAACTGATTCTAGTCTGATGCCTAAGGAACCAGTCTGATCTCCATGACTGCTCCTTTAGATCCTGAAATTCTGTTCCTCATCTGTGTCCTGTACCTGTAGAAGAAACAGATTCTCTAAGCTTCCAACTCTGATTTCATTTGACGTGCTTTGCATATCACTGCTGTGTGTGCAAAGATGTCCCTAGATTACCAGCTTCCTGGGAATTGTGGAAGTAAGATGAATTCATATCTATCTGAGATTGGATTGCTGGCAGTTTTTGTTTTGTTTTGTTTTGTTTATTCAGGTAAGGGGTAGGTTTATTCACCGTTCAGGCTGGCACCAGGCCATCTTGGTCCTCCACGCAGTGGGGGAAGGCCTGGGAAAGAGAGAGCTGGGGAAAAGAGCTAGGAGAGAGCTAGAAAAGAGAGAAAATAGCTAGAAAAGAGAAGAGCTAGAAAAGAACAGAGAAAGCAGAGAGAGGGCGTCTGGGCCTAGGCCCCGGGACCCAGCCTGCGTCGCACTCTTGGGGACACAAGCCAAAATGTAGAAAAGAGAAAGGGAGAGATAGGGAAAGTACAAAAAAAGAGGAAAAAAAAACCAGAGAGGAATCCCATCTATCCTGACTTTAAGCCCTTTATCCGAGTTTTGGCACCATTTATGTTAGGTTTTTAAAAAGTAGCCGAGTAAGAACTGCACCATGCAGGTGGTATTCAGGTAAGGGGTAAGTTTATTCATCGTTCAGGCTGGCACTAGGCCATCTTGGTCCTCCACGCAGTGGGGAAAGGCCTGGGAAAGAGTGAGCTGGGGAAAAGAGCTAAGAGAGAGCTAGAAAAGAGAGAAAATAGCTAGAAAAGAGAAGATTGCTGGCAGTTTTTTGAAGGCAGAAGACAGTACTACTTCCTTCTTTTCTGTGATTCTAATTTCCATCAATTACTTTGTACCATAGACACAAATACATGAAGCAAACTTACATTTACAATGTGAATTGTATGGTGGCTCCTCCTATTGGAATTTTTTTTTTGCATTCACAATAAAATTATGAAATTGAGCCAGGCACCTGTGGCTCACACCTGTAATCTTAGGAGGCTCAGATCTGAGGATCATATTTTGAAACAGCCTAGGACAAGAAAGTCTGTAAGACTCTTCTCTCCAATTAACAACCAAGAAGCTAGTCAGGCATTGGTGGCTCATGCCTGTAATCCTAGCTACTCAGGAGGCTGAGATCTGAGGATTGTGGTTCAAAGCCAGCCTGGGCAGAAAAGTCTGTGAGACTCTTATCTCCAGAAGTGACGCTGTGGCTCAGAGGTAGAGCTCTTGCCTTGAGCTGAAGAGTTGAGGGACAGCACTCAGGCCCAGAGTTCAAGCCCCACAACTGACAAAAAAAACCCCAAAAAACAAAAAACAGAAGTGGTGCTATGGCTCAAGTGGTAGAGTGCTAGCCTTGAGCTAAAAAGCTCAGGGGCAGCTTCCAGGTCCTAAGTTCAAGCCCTAGAATCTCCCCTCACAAATTATGAAATTGGTCCATTTTTTTCTTTTGATCTGTATACTCCATTATCATTTCTTTCCTTTAACTAGAATATAAGCTCTAAGGGGAAATCAGTTTGTGTCTATATCCTAAGTGTTTAGGACAGGACCTGTCATATTAGAAGGGAATTATATATGTGCATTTCATAAATGAATCAGAAAATGACTCTACATGCAAATACTAATTTTCATGTGAAAAGTTGCAATATGAATAAGTTTGTGTAAGTTATCAAAGTTTGTACATCAGAAAGACATTATCCTGGAGGCTGGTCAGTACAGTGTTTATAAGTAACAGTAGAAAGTTCTTGGTGGGGGATGGGTAGGAGTTGCTTTATTAAATACTTTGGTCTCCACTAGAAATCATGGGGCATATAAAATGTGAGAGCAGAAATAAATCTTTGAAGGAGCCCAGAGCAGCTCTCTCATTTTATGGATTATGACCTAGAGCCCAAGGAGGAAATGATTTGCTACAGATTATACAGTAAAATAGAGGCTAAACTCAAACTGAAATTCTAATTTTGAGTTCCAATATGGTATGTTGTTGAATTTAATTCTTTATGACATTTTGACTACTAATTATACTGATGGGCTAGGTAGAGAACAAGTTGCAGTCTCCCTAAAGAAAATTCAACACTTTTCATTTAGGTATTGATTTTTCAGTGGGTTTTTGGATGAGCTGTATTTTTTCTTTTTTTCTTGTAACTCCAGAATTTTAAATCTATTCTTGGGATTAACAATGAGAAATTTGATAGGCTGAATGGAACTTGCTCTTGAAGAGAAGAAACTTTCACTCTCATGTAGAAACATGAGTAAATAGTGTAAAAGGCAAAGGGCAGTAGGAGCAGATAACAAAATATGGAAAGCCTCAATTATCTACAATCTAAGGTTTCAGGTGCTTGGATAGTAAAGGTGTACTTTCTACTCGTAATTCCAGTATTTTCATTTATAATAGCTATTATCATCTTCTGAAAACATCTACTGTGAAAGTAAGGTTATTCTTTTGGAGCTTCTTGGGTAGTATAGGGAAGTGTCTTTGGAATCAGGCAAATTTGAGTAACTTCCCTTTTTGGCATACTAACTATTGAAATTGAACAGTTTACCTACCACTTCAAGACTCAGGTTCTCTATCTATAAAATAATCATACTCATAGATTCAATATGTGATATATTAATGATGTGATTTATTTCTGATCATATTAGATATGATATTAAAACCAAAAGAGGTAGTATATACAGCACTTATCTGAGAGCAGTAAATAATAATTGCTGCTAATTTTTCATATTTTCTCTCCTTGATATTATAGGGGCTCCAAAGATGATTAGAAAAACCCAAGAATTGGTCCTTTGTTTCAGACCTCAGAATAACACAAACCTACAAGCCAAGGGAGCCAGTATTTGGCCATTCGTCCATCCATCTGCATGTCCCAGGGATGCACAAACAGGGAACAGTTCAACCTTTCAGCTGCCTTCAAAGAAGCAATGAGAGAGAAAAGGTTATTTTGATGAGCCAGCAAATGCAAGGTACTGTTTTAAGGAAACTGCTTTTTTCTGAGTCTCTATTGATCTAAATAAACTAAAATGCTTTTGAAGTTGTTTCTTGATCTATATAAGAAAATCATTGATAAGCTCTTTTTCTTGCTTAGAAAGTAAAAACGACTCAAAATTAACAAAAGGGATCGATGAATTTACTAGTGAAGTTGATGAATTTAATAATTGTTTGGCAAAACAGGAAACATCTATCACTCAAATATTTTGAGCAAGGTCAAAATGCTCAAGAACTAATCCCACACCTCAAATGTAAGGGAAATTTCCCTGCTGGTCCACTCTTTTAGAAGGATGGTTGAGGTGACATCCTTGAAATCAGGGAAAGAGTGCTCCTTTCTTTTTCTTATTTTAAAACTTGAGGCTGTAGAAAGTGGGCTAGGCCAGGCCAGGCTGGGCCTGATCTGAGGTATGGATCAGGCTTGAATCATGAGCCCAATGCTAGATGAAATTCTTGAGTCTGCAGACACTCTTGCAGGTCCTCAAGCCTATGCTCTAAATAGTTTGTATGAATGAGATGACCTTAAAAGGAACCACTTCTCCATGTCTGGAAGGCACTAAGATGAATGTCATGGGCAAGTGTGCTTCAGGGCATTTTGGGAAAGGGAAATGCCATCTGGATGGAATGAACCTTATTTAATACAATATCTAATTAAGATAAGTACCATCAACAACCATTGAATATTAGTACTTAAATGTTCAGAATAGATTTTCCTCAGAACATTTTCTTTCCACATATATTGGAATACTAGAGTGACTTATCCTACCTCCACACATAAATATTTGTGTTAACCAGGTTGATGCAATATCCCCTGTTTACCTAAGCATTTTTTAATGGAAAAACAATTTTGGATACTAAGGATTCTGGAAATGGCAAGCAAGGGTAAGTTGAAGATTTCTAAATCAACAAGTTCTGAGAAGGAGAGCCTTTTGAAGTGAGATTACGATATATATATATGCAAGTTGGAAAGAGAATACTGCCTTCTTGGGATTGCTTGGCAAAGATACATAATTGTATTATTTCAGTTGACTCCTAATTATTATAAAATTTTATATGTCTATGATGTATCGTTTCTATTCAGTTCAAATTAACAAAAAACACCTCTTGCCAGGTTCTGGTGGCTCACACCTGTAATCCTAGCCTCTCAGGATGCTGAGATCTGAGGACTTTGATTCAAAGCCAGCCTGGTCAGAAAATTCCTTGAGACTCTTATCTCCAATTGACCATCAAAAGTGGCACTGTGGCTCAAGTGGTAGAGCACTTGCCTTGAGCTGAAGAGCTGAGGGATAGCACCCAGGCCCAGAGTTCAGGCCCCACAACCGACAAAACAGAAACAACAGTAACAAAACACCTCTTATATGTGAGGTATTATAGAGAATACAAAGTCACTCATAACCTTAAAATCATAACTAACATTCACTAAGAACAAACGCTGAAACTGCTATAGTGAATTTATAAATATTACTGGTTTATTTATTTTTATTAAAGGAGTTACTTCTGTTTCTCTTGTTTTATGGAAAGGGAATTGAGGCAGATAGAACCTATGGCTGACACACAATAGAGCTAGTAGAGCCAGACAGTCAGGCATTAGTAGTGTTCTGTCTACTACATACTTGTATTAAAGTTGGGGTTTTTTTTTGGTACCTGAATATTGACCTAGGTGTGTAAATTAGGATTACTTACTAAGAAGAGAGGTGTGGAAGATAAGGTGTAGGAGATAAGGGTGACATTTAGATGCTCCTCAGTACCAGGCTTGCCTTGAATTAACAAAGCCAACTTTGGCTCTGAGAAATCCTCCTATTTGTTTGAGCACCTTACTGACGCAAGCTAGAGAGCAGTGAGGCAGGTAAGCCCTGCTAACTAAACAAATGTTCTGTCAACCTCTGGACATCACGAGTGAACTGGGGACAGGATGTGCTTCTGAATCCTGCAGAGACTGGCAACCCAACAAACAATCTAAAGAATGACTGATGGATTGAGCTAGTCCCACAAATGAAAACATCTATGTGAACCACAACTAGATGCTGCTGCTTTCTAAGCGCTTTAGTAATTCACAAATCTAATTCTAATGAATAATAAAATGACTTGCGGCTGAAGTCTCATTCATACTGTGCTGCAACAACTTGAATGCACAAGTAAATAAATCTTTTTTCAAAACTCATTAAAGTTTCTAGCAAACATTTGCTTCATCAGCTAAGCTACTGTAGCTAATAAGCTTCAGGGAGTTCAATATTTAGAGGAACCATTAAATCTTTCAGGTCATTAGGAGGCAATTTAACCCCCAATTGATGGGCAGTTGCCATAGATACCAACATGGAAAACACTTTTTTACATGTAATTAGAGCTCAATAAATATTAAGTGAATAAGTGACAGTGAGTAAAGTCCGTAGTGAGTCCACAGACAGATATTTAATTTGTTATTGAAGATTTTACATTTACAATGAAAATTGTAGAAAACAATTTCATATCATTATAATTCTAGAAAAGAAGTGAGAAATTTAAAAAACTTGGATAAAGAACTATGTATTTTAAATCCTGCTACCAAGGATAGTAGTTTATGTTATAGAAAGAACTGAAAGAAAGAGGAAGACTGGTGGAGAAGAATGTGAAATGATGAATTCTTGAATTGAAGAAGGGTACTTAGAAAGGGATGGCACTAAATATTGGAGTATATATTTTATTATGAAATATTTTAGGTATAGAAAGTATGAACATTAGATCAACAAACATCCATATCTCAACCATCTAGTTTCATCAGATGTAAACATCTTATATTACTGTAAATTATGTATTTTTATTATACATTTTCAAATTATGTGGCTCTAAAAGTTTCTTAATAGAGAATTGGTTCAATAAGTCAAAATGTGTCTATGCAATAGAATATTCTTCAATTATTTAAAATCCATGCACTAAGATAATTTTCCTTTAATTTGGAAATTGTCAACTAGGGTAAGAAATCACATGTAACAAAATCACAATTTTGTTAAAATACAAATATATGCAATCTTTTTAATGACATGAATTATAATAGTGTTCATTTATCTTTGGGTAGCAGGGTGATGATTTTCTCTTTATACTTCCCTGTAATTTTCCAGAATTTCTTCAAAATTATTTTATAGTTTTGAAAACATCTAAGTATTTTTCCAAATAAAAATATCTTTTAATGTCATTAACATGGTTCTTATAAACAATGGCAGTGATGAAAGTGACATTTAGGCTTTCAAATAAGATTAAAAGGAAGCAACTGTGAGCAGGGAACAAGTGGTTCAAGCCTGTAATCCTAGCAACTCAGGAGGCTAAGATCAGAGGATCACAGTTCAAAGCCAGATTGGACAGGAGAGCCCATGGGACTCTTTTCTCCAATTAACCACCAAAAGGCTGGAAGTAGAGCTGTGGCTCAAGGATAGCCTTTAGCCAAAAAGCTAAGGGATAGCTCCTGGGCCCTGAGTTCACGCCCCAGGACTGGCACAAAAAGAGAAAACCAAAACCATAGTAAAGCAACTGTGATAGAAGAGCTATTTTATCTCTGAGTTAACTCAGGGCTGGCCTAGGACACACTTCTGACACCCCTCATTGAGGTAATGGCCCCTTCCTTTTTCAGGGGAGTTTTGGTAGGAGCTTTCTTCTTACCTGCATCTAAAGCAATGTATTTTTTTTTTTGCTTTTGTTTGTTTGTTTTTTACTGGTCCCTGGGCCTGGGTGCTATCTCTGAACTTATTTTGCTCAAGGTAAGTGCTCTACCACTTGAGCCACAGTGCCATTTCAGTCTGATTTTAATAGTTTATTGAATATAAAAGTATTATGGAGATTCCTGCCCAGGCTGGCTTTGAACCATGACCCTCAGATTTCAGCCTCCCAAGTAGCTAGAATTACAGGCCACGGTGCCATGGGTGCCATCAGTACTTTTATCTACATACTCAGTGGGATGGCACCTTCATCTTCTCACTAGCACCTATACTATTGCTGGGCAGACTAAGTTTTCTATGGCTACATGTTGGCTGAACCACAGTGGTGTACTCACTGCATAGACAGGGAAGAGTTCTTGTTCATTCAGGTCCCAGGTATTGATGTGGGAGCCAATCTGGACCCCTGGAAATCCCAGCTCCTTTACACAACGCTCCATTTCCTTGACTGCCAGCTCAGGGGCTTGCATAGGCAATGTCCCTAGACCCACAAACCTCCGAGGGTGGCTTGCTACAGTGGCAGCTAGGTCATTGTTTAAAAGCTGACATAGGTCCATAGTGTCCTGAGGTTTGGCCTGGTGAAACAGGGCAGGGGGTAAAATCCACATCATTAAAATCTAGTTCTTTAGACATTCACTCTGAACAATATCACTTCTTGGCTGAAATATTCTGCCCAATTATTTTACTTCTCAAGAAACTGAAGCATAGTTTCTAGCCCCAGAAGACCCAACGTCTGTATAATCAAACTGCCAATATACTTCTGGTCAGAAAAATTAAAGCCAGAATTATTAGACCTGACATCCTAATTACTGGGTCATTCCATCTGAGAGATGGAGTGAGGAGAGGCCACCAGCAGGAGCAAATGGATCTTGAAGGCCTTCCCAACTAGGTCTTGCCCAGTGTATGAAGCCACAATTAAGTCTCCTTACCTCCCCAAGGGATGAGAGACCTGGTCATAGAACTATCCTGTCCCTGTCTATCTTCCCCATCCTTCCTTTGGCTGTAACACTGAGGGCTAGCCTTTGAGGTAAATTAAATTTGCTTTTAGCTCCCCTTCATGGCTACTTCTCCTTTTAGCAACACTCACTTCAAGGAATCTGGTGCTTTCCTGCAATCCTGGTGGTCCATTCAGAGTTATATCCAATTTTTTAAGTTCAGGCATACTACCATCTTAAAGACATTTTGTCTTAAGTAGTGACTCTCAGTGACAGAGAAGGGCTGGTGGGAGAAGTGAATAGGGGGTATTTTCATTGCTTCTTAAACCAGGACAGAAGAGACTGCTAGGTTGGGCAGCTACTTAGCACACCCTCAGCTCTGTGCAAGAATTTCCCTCTACTGGCTCAAATTCATGCCTGAAAGCACTTTCACTGCTTGAGATTTAGTCATTTGTAGAGAGGGTGTTCAGAACTCCTCCCTTGAATTCCGTATTTCTTTGGAAGAGGTAACATATTAGGCCATTATTATCCCTTTTCAAAATTATCCTCACTTCAGAACAAGTTGGCTTGTCAGTTCCTCAGCAAGACATTGAAGGAATGAGTGGTTAGATAAGTAAGTTCTGGTGAGGCTAAAGGTGGGGCCAAAACTGCGCTGTCCATTAGAACTATAATGCATGTTCAATAGAGACATATTAGCTATTGTACTAGTGTAAGGACATGACTAAGACAGCCTGGGAGAGGATGCTGGTGCTATTTGAAAGGAAGAGGGGGTGTAGGTGGGACCAATGTCAAGACTCACCTACTTTTTGATGATCTGGTGACATGAGTCTTTAGAACCAAGGAAATGGTTTGAGGTTTCACACTCACCCAGTAGCTAAACATGATGGGAACCGTAGAAAGAGCTTGCACGGTTACTCCTAGGTATATATACAAAAAAAAAAAAAAAGGCAAAGCTATAAGAAGAATAGCCCAAATATTCCAGCCTTCCCCAGGGCAAGAAGCCAGCAAATCTCCACTGTATCTTCTTTCTGCCCTCCCTGCTCCTCCTCCTCCCTAAATCCCCTCCCGCAGGCTCTCTCCCATGCCTTCCTCATCTGCCAGCCTCAGCCTCAGGTTCTTTGGAAAGAGGTAAAAGCTGGGCAGAGATGAGATCATTTAAGAAAAACAAATGCTGTGTACAATGACTCATGCCTGTGATCCTAGCTGGTTTTAGCTGGAAATTTGGAGGATCACAGTCCAAGCCAGCCTGAATAAAATCATGAGATCCCATTTGGGAAGTAACAAAAGCAAAACCAAAACCAAAAAGGGATGGGAAATGCGGCTAAAGTAATAACAGCACTTACCTAACCAAGCACAGACCTTGAGGTCAAATCCCAGTACCATCCAAAACAAAATAACAAAAACAATGAGTTGACTCCATTTTCCAAGGGTCTACTCTTCCTTTCTGTGAAATTTTCTTTAAGTGAGACATTTTTCCATGATTTTTTTTCAGGGCTTTCTATCTTAGGTCATGTATGACAAAGTTTTCTTTTTTTTTTTTTTTCTTTTTTGTCGGTTGTGGGGCTTGAACTCTGGGCCTGGGCACTGTCCCTGTGCTCAAGGCCAGCACTCTACCGCTTGAGCCACTTCTGGTTTTCTGGAGGTTTATTGGAGATAAGAGTTTCACAGACTTTCCTGTCTGACTGGCTTTGAACCGTGATCCTCAGATCTCAGCCTCCTGAGTAGCTAGAATTACAGGCGTGAGCCACTGGCACCCGGCTGCATGACAAAGTTTTATCTTAGCTTCCACTAAGTAATTCATCTCCTATGTCAACCTGGATGAAGCCTCAAGGTCTAGAATACTCAGAATGTGATCTTGAGTTTGGTTCTAAAAGCCAGAATCCAAGAAGTCAAAAATATCTCTTGTCTTCAAGGGAATACCTTCTGAAGTTGCTGTAGTGATTACCTGGGTTAATATACGTTAGGTGAATAGAACTGTGCATAAACCAAATGCTCAATAAAGATTAGTAGCTCACTTGCAAACAGCCATGGAATGAAGCACACAACAAAAGCAAAAGGAAAGACTTGATGACTTTATGTCAACATCAGCCAGCCAAGACCCTTTCCCACTAGTTTTCTCCTTGAGAGGATGGATCCTTGCTGTCAAAACCTCTTTATTGTAGATGTAGGAAGCATGTTCTCAGCACCCCTCCCATCTCATAATACTCTTAGAACACGGGTGCATGTACTATGTTTTTGTGGAATGGTCCACTGAGTGATTCAGGCCTTCTGTAAAGTTCCCCTTGATTGTAACTTAAATGTGTTTTTTAATTGGTAAAAATATATAAAGCTGCCATATGACAGTTTCTCATGCCTATAATAATCCTAATTACTAGAGAGGCAGAGATTGATTGTGAGGATCTCAGTTTGAGGCCACCCTGGGCAAAAAGTTCCTGAGATACCCCATCTCAACTAATAGGTGGATGTGATGGTTCACAACTGTCATCCTAGCTATAAGGGAGACTGTGCTCAGGAGGATTGCAGTTTCAGGCCTGTCTCCAGGTAAAAATGTTCTTGAGACCTCTCTTTCGATAGAAAAACTGGAATGTGGTGGCACATGCCTGTCATCTCAGCTACAGGTGAAAGTATGAATAAGAAGATCGTGGTCCAGATCCTTCAAGACCTCTTGTCAAAAATAGCCAGAAGGCTGGGAAGGTGGCTTAGTGGTAGAGTGCTTGCCTTGCATGCATGAGGCCCTGGGTTCAATTCCTCAGCACCACATAAGCAGAAAAAGCTGGAAGTGGCGCTGTGGCCCAAGTGGTAGAGTGCTAGCATTGAGCTGAAGAGCTGAGGGACAACGCCCAGGCCCAGAGTTCAGGCCTCAGGACTGACCAAAAAAAAAAAAAAAAAGCCAGAATAGAAAGTGCTGGAGGCATGACCAAATGCAGATTATCTGCCCAACCTGGTACTGCAAAAAGCAGTCAATCAGAGAGAGAGAGGGCAAGCACACTCAATATTTGGACAGAGATATCTGACACCAAATTTTTATTGCACACCTACTCATTTTGGGCTTGCCAAGTTGATGCCTTTTTTGAAGACCTTGGAATTAAATGAAGTCTCCTGCTATCTCTTGGATATATAACTAAACTTATAAAATTGTTTTTAAAGAAGGCGCTGGTGGCTCATGTATTTAATCCTAGCTACTCAGAAAGCTGAGATCTGGGGATGGTTGTTTGAAGCTAACCTGGTCAGGAAAGTTCTTGAGACTCCAATTAAGCAAAAGCCAGAACTAGAGCTCAAGTGGTAGAACACCAGCTTTGAGTGAAAGAGCTAAGGGACAGTGCCTAAGCCCTTAGTTCAAGCTCCAGTACTGGTACATGCATAAAAATTATCATTGATTAGAAAGGTGGTAGTTAGTTATAATTTGCTGTTTTGTATGTGTGAATGAATTATTTGGTTTTAGTTCAAATTTTGGAATTGTTTTTATCATAAGGATTTCTGAGATACATGATTAACTTCTTAACAAACTGTTTTCTTTTTTCCCACTACTAATGTGTGTCAATGACGATGTTCTGTATATGGTGCCCTGAGATAAACTACAGAAAGAAACTGGATCCAAAGTCTAGCTAAGCAGGCAGATAACTAACATCCTTAATCTATCAGTTCTAATTTTATTGTTTTAATTGATTTGATAGTAAGAAAATACTATGAACTTGAACTAAAAAATCCTTAAAATAATAAAATGCCATTATCTTTTTTGGTGATATAGCATTCTATTTTTAAACAGGTATAACTGATCTTAAAATATTTTAAATCAAGCTGGGCACCATGGCTCATGCCTGTAATCCTAGCTACTCAGGAGGATGAGATCTGAGGATTGCAATTCAAAGTCAGCCTGGGCAGGAAAGACTGCCCTTATCTCAAATAAACCACCAGAAAACCAAAAGTGGTGCTATGGTTCAAGTGTAGAGCACTTGCCTGAGCTGAAGAGCTGGAGGACAGTGCCCAGGCCCAGAGTTCAGCCCCCATGACGGACAAAATAAATAAATAAATAAAAATAAATCTATACTGTTAGGGCACTGTTTTAAAGGTTCTTTCCCTAGTGAAGTCAGAGCAGCTGGCTTGCAAAGGTAAGTTGTCATCAGGTAACTCACTCCAAATAGTCAATAGCCTTTAAGGGAAGATATTGCTTATTCAGTAAAGGCAAATATTGATAACCTTCCTTATTGTAAGTACCTTTTTGATCCATTTCTCTAATACGAACTTCTGGATTCCAGCAGTTCTCTTGGACCACTCTGAAGACCTTTCCATCTTTCACCATCTTTGCTTCTCCCTTGGACAGAAAATTCACTTAGGTTAATCTTTTCTTACATGCTTTAGAATATGTTTCACTAACACTTTAAGGGATTTTTTTTTTTTTCGGTCGGTTGTAGGGCTTGAACTCTGGCCTTGGGTGCTGTCCCTACACTCTTCAGCTCAAGGTGAGTGCTCTACCGCTTGAGCCACAGCACCACTTCCAGTTTTCTAGTGGTTAATTGGAGATAAGAGTCTCATAGACATTTCTGCCCGGGCTGGATTTGAACAGTGATCCTCAGATCTCAGCCTTCTCAGTAGCTAGGATTATAGGTGTGAGCCACCAGCGCCCAGCTTTAAGGAATTTTTAATGAATCCTCACAAAAGTAGAAATCTGTTCATTTACTAGAATTCAGATTTTTCCTCCCCTTATGCCTTCCTCTGGCCTAGTGTTGATGGAGTATGCTTTGTGAGTACCAGCATCTGAACAGAAGTAGCCATGTCATAGTCATAGACTTTCTGGTTTGCATGTCTGAGGATAGATGACTGTGCTGACCTGAACCATTAGTGTGGTAGACCCAAGAGCATAGCCCAGTGTTAGAACATAGACCTACAATATGTTAGAATTGGGAAGGACCTTCAAGGTAGACACATTAGTCCCATTCTCTTGTTTTATAGAGAGGCAACATTTAGATAGTGAGAGCAAGTAGTTTGTATAATCAAGCAAGACCTACTGATGCCAACTCTTGCAGGAAGAGGGGGCGATGAAGTGAATCAGTTGAGAAACACAAAATTTGGCTCTGAGCTACTCATTTCTAAGCAGCAACATGCCTGCTGTTTACACCATTAAAAAATTTTTTTTGCTGCCAGTCCTGGGGCTTGAACTCAGGGCTTGGGCACTGTCCCTGACTTTTTGTGCTGAAGGCTAGCAATCTAGCACTTGAGCCACAACTCTACTTCCAGCTTTTTGGTGGGTAATTGAAGATATAGAGTCTCAGCGATGGTCCTTCCCAGTTTGGATCCTCAGATCGCAGCCTCCTGAGTAGGTAGGATTACATGCATGAGCCACCAGTGCCTGGCATCATTTTTAAAATGTACCTTTAAAAAGTTTATATATTGCCGGGCACTGGTGGCTCACACCTGTAATCCTAGCTACTCAGGAGGCTGAGATCTGAGGATCGCGGTTCAAAGCCAGCCCGGGCAGGAGAGACCGTGAGACTCTTATCTCCAATAAACCACCAGAAAACCAGAAGTGGCGCTGTAGCTCAAGTGGTAGAGCACTCGCCTTGAGCTGAAGAGCTGAGGGACAGCGCCCAGGCCCAGAGTTCAAGCCCCACGACCGACAAAAAAAAAAAAAGTTTATATATTTATGACATGCAACATGTTTTAGTATATGTAAACAATAAAAAATGTATAAATCAAATTAATGTATCCTTTACTTATTTTTTATGGTGAGAATACTTAAAACCTATTCTACTAGCAATTTTCAATTATATAACACATTATTATTAATTGTAGTCACATGCAGTATAATAGATAAGTTTATTTCCCTTGTCTAACTGAAACTTTCTGTCCTTGAGTATATGGCTAACACATATGAAACAATATTCAACATCACTAGTCCTCTAGGATCTACAGATCAAAACCACTATTAAGTATCACTTATACCTTTAAGATGGGTTTCATCAAAAAGACAACAAAAAAGATAACAAATATTGGCAAGGACATGGAGAAAAGGAAACCCTGTTCACAGCCAGTGTGTATGTTCATTGTTATAATCATAATAGAACACACTACTTTTTAAAAATTCCCAGGGCAGGAGGTAAAACTAACTGGTTGGGTAGAACAGAGCAGTGGGCTATGAACTGGGCTTCTACATTGTGGTTTCTAAAGAAAAGGGGAAAGTTATAGATCAGGCTTCTCTAGTCAGATGCCCCAAGTTCAAAATCCCATTCTGCCACTTACTTTGTGGCCTTGAGCAATTTAAATGACATATCTGATTCCTACTTTGATCCTCAAAATGGGGATAATAAATGGCTTACCTAAAACAAAGCTAATATGTTTTGCCTAAAAAGGGATTTTGTGAGCATGAAATGAGACAATCCACATTAAGTAGTGGCTTATCTCAGGAGTTAGTATTTTTACTTGTTATTGATCTATAACTGATTAGGGTCCAGGCTATTTACTCAGTGTTCCTTTGCTTTCAGATAGAACATTTCTGGGGGTGCTAAAGAGCCTCAAGATTATCCCTCAGCCCCACAGGATTGTCAAAGTTCTGTATGCATATCAGAAGCCTTGAGTTCTGCTCAGCTGAGTCTCTGCCGTCTTTGCTGTTTCTATAACTTGGATTACTTAAACCTGGACAGAGTTCCCTCTATGGACATGCCTTTCTCACACAAAGAGAAAGGCAACCACTTTTCATCCTCAAGTGCTGAATCCGTTCCCAGCTTGCATCTGAGGAAAACATCAGATCCACATTTCCATCTCTCACGGACTGGGAAACATCAGGACCGTGAGTAAATGACTTGTATAATTGTGACAGGGACCTATACTCTGGCAAAGCTGGGTCTTTGACATCTGCAATCAGGATTGATGTTACTCATCTCATCCGCAAATGCTTATGTCTACTTCTGAATCATCTTCCAAGATTTGCTATCTCCTATAGGAATCTCTTATAAGTGGAGACAAAGCCTGCTTTCCTCTACAAAATCTCCAAACCTCAAATATTTGCCCACCCAACTGTTTAATTAAATTAGCTAGAATAGATTCTGCTGTTTGTAACTAATAACAATGATACAGGAGATTCATCATACTCTCCGTGTGAAGGACTTAATACCAGGCTCAATAAGTGTCAGCCAGATTTACCATACATGATCAACTTTCAAGGGAGGAAACTGGTCTTCTCAGGGAGATACCTAGGTACTGAATTCACACAAAGCAGAACAGATTAGACCAGAAATGGATCATTTCAACCCTTGTCTTTTACCAGTGAGTCGGTGATGTGCAGTGACTTTTCCAATGCCACATACTTAGTCAGTATAGAGCTAAGACATTCATGTTTATGAAGCCATTTTCACTGCCATGCAAATGATATTTGGTAATTGATGTCTATCTGGTAGGTGAAAGTGGACTTCTATAATGTCCTAAACTCTTCTGGGAGTGATCTTACTACATGACAGGAGAATCAGACCTCTAAATTCTCTACATCCTCCATGCTGGATTTGTGGTAAGGAACGTGAAGGATAGCAGCTACCAGTGGAACTCTTTACTAGTGAAAATTGTCTCAGAGCAGCTGTGTCTTTATAATGTGCCACCAATACTCATTACCATTTTTTTTTAGCCAAAATTTTGAGACCTGATAGCTATGGCAAATAGTCCATTTCTGACCCCTCGTACTTTGCACTCAGGAGTTCAAAGTCCTTAAAGACCTATAAACTGTCTCAGCAGTCAGCACTTGATGCTGAGTGTAAGGATGAGGAATTTCTCATAGATTTTTTTCTTTTTTATTTAAATTGACTTTTTGTTTTTTATTATTTTAATTTTATTGTCAAGGTGATGTACAGATTTTACAGTTACATATAAGTAAGGCACTGAATACATTTCTTCTCAAACTTGTTATTCCTCCCTCATTTTTCTCCCTCTCCCCCCCACCCCCAGTTGTATTGCATATATGTTTATCTTAATTAGGGAAGGGAAGGGGAACAACAAAATGGTGAGACAAAGGACAAGGGGAACCAATGCAACAGTGATACTCATAAGACAATATGTTAGAATTGTTCTCCTTAATGCTGACCTCAATATCAACCAACATTTTATTTTATTTAATTTATTTATTTATTTTTTGGGTCCGGTTGTGGAGCCTGAACTCTGGGCCTGGGCGCTGTCCCTCAGCTCTTCAGCTCAAGGCTAGCGCTCTACCACTTGAGCCACAGCGCCACTTCCGGCTTTTTTCATTTTGCTTATGTGGTGCTGAGGAATCGAACCCAGGGCCTCTGGCATGCAAGGCAAGCGCTCTACCACTGAGCCACCTTCCCAGCCCCCTCAACCAAGATTTTAAACTTGATGAACAGTCAGATAAGTGGAACAGATTGTTCTAATTATGCAACTAGAACCCAATTCCATTTTTCAAAACTCTCAAAGGATTAGAAAGAAACTGAAGATTAAAAAAAAAAACTTTAAAACCACAGTGTTTTTTAGTTAAAAAATATAACTGTATCCTCACTGTACAACATCTTTACAAGGAAATAAAAGTTTAAAAAATTCCATCAAGCTGGGCACCAGTGGCTCATGCCTGTAATCCTAGCTACTCAGGAGGCTGAGATCTGAGGATCGCAGTTCAAAGCCATGCCTTCAGGAAAGTCCCTGAAACTCTTATCTCCAGTAAACACTCAGAAAACTGGAAGTGGTGCTGTAGCTCACGTGGTAGAGCGCTAGCCTTGAGCTGAAGAGCTGAGGGACAGCGCCCAAGCCCAGAGTTCAAGCCCCATGACCGGCAAAAAAAAAAATTCCACCAAGCCACCATCCCAATCCAGATAAAACTTTTAAAAATATCCTTCTCTTTTCAATTCCCTTATTTTCCCCATCTACTCTCGTTATGTAGTTCATTATTTATGTAATGTACATTGAATATAATAACTATATTTGTTCCCCCTTCCTCTCTCCATTCATATACTCCCCTCTTTGCACACCCCCAAAAAACATGTTCCTACTCCTAGTATTCTGTTTTTTTTAGTTTTAATTTATTTTTGTTGGTCCTGGGGCTTGAACTCGGGCCTGGGTGATATCCCTGAGCTCTTTTTGCTCAAAGCTAGCGCCCTACCACTTCAAACCGCTGTGCCAATTCCAGTTTTCTGGTGGTAAATTGGAGGACAGAGTCTCATGGACTTTACTGCCTGAGCTGTGAACTGTAATCCTCAAATCTCATCAGCCTCAGAGTAGTTAGGATTACAGGTATGAGTCACTAGTGCCCTCCTCCTGGTACTCTTTTGTTAAACACTTTATCAGTTGTTCAAAAGAGTTACACTTTTGGATTCCTCCCTT